CTTCTCTGAATTTCTTAATACAAAACACAAATACTCATAATATTTAATAGGGGATAAACAAGGAAAACAAATCTAATTTGAATAGAAATTATAAAATGCTTATTAAAGGGCCAATAATTTATTCTAAAATGTTCCTTATAATAAAGACAGGAGGGAGAATTACTTATATCTATTACTACCATTTATTCCTGCCTCTTTTCTTCCTTCAGGAAGCCGTGCAAGCAAAGGGACTTAGAGATGACACAACCTGCATTGTTATTGATGTATATCCCCAGGAGAAGCCACCTACTTCTGTGCCAACAAATAAGAAACCGGTAAAAGGAAGGCTGAAGTCCATTTTTCGCAAAAAGTCCTCTGGATCATCATCTTATGTTGACAAACAATACGTTGAGCCAGATGTGGTACAGGAACTATATGAGGAAGGGTCTGCTATGCTTTCAGAGAGGTCGGTTTGGTTTTGTAACATGTCTTGTGAATGTTAGCATCTTGCTCTCTAGTTATCTTGACATATCCTTGTCTGAGATGCAGGTTAGAAACAAAATATCCACTCTGCAACATGTTCAAGTTGTTTATCTGCGCAGTGTGTCAGGTAGAGATTAAACCCGGGGAGGGTATTTCCATACATGAGGGTTTGGCTAACCCTGGAAGATTGCGTCCTTGGGATGGACCTTTCCTTTGCTCAAGTTGCCAGGAGAAGAAAGAAGCCATGGAAGGAAAGCGAACATCAGGTGTTGTTTCGATAACGGATCCCCGTTTTTATATCCATCCATCGATGCCCTAAGTAATGCATGTCCATAATTTAATTGTTTACTTCAATATTTTGCTTTCAGATAGACATAACAGCGGAAGTGACTAATGAATTATCATGTACATTTGCGTATTAAGGAACAAAGATTGTTCATATAACGGGAAGCTCAAACTTCCAAACAACAGTGACTTCCTTATTAGATTACAAAGGAGGCTTCTCAGAATACGGATCTATTTTGGAAATCCACATGAAAAGCAATATGGAGTTTTCTGTGTTGTTCCAGTCAGGAGACTAACAAACAATTGCAGCTTGCAAGAATTCTGACTTAGAAGAGAGGAGTACGAGCCACCCTAGTATTGTGTTAAAAGTGGGAATGTACAACAGGATGATTCATTCTTTTATTCCCTTTTTCTCTCTAGATCCATTCATTTGTATATAGGTATTTGGAATCACCGAAATCGACCTTTAATGGAAGTGGTCTTTGTTGTATTGTACCTACAGAAAGGATTTTCAGTTTCTTTTTTTTTTTTTTTGGTCCATTCAAGGGAGTTTATTTGGACGTCATATAGACCAGTTCCAATATAGAATAGATGTTTCTCAACCCAAAAAGAAGGATGTAAGTTAAGGTTTGTTCTGGATGATTTTTTCTTGCAGCATTCAATTTTGATTATTTCTTTTTCAATACCTATATTATAGTTTTTGTATTAGAAATATTCCACCTTCCCTGTCCCTTTTTTTTTCCCGATTGGTTTTTTCAACCCATATCATTGTTTTCTATCTTTTGTACAAGAAATATGATTTTTATTTGGTATAAACCTCAAGCATCTTCCACACACAATCCTGTCCAAGCCTAATGGAACAATTATGGATGATACCTACATACTCCATGAGTATTTACACCAAACCAAGTAAGAAATAAAGAGTAAAGAAAAAAAAGAGAGAAATAAGTGATAAATAGTACGAAAAAAAAAGAGATAAAAGTGAGATTGCATCACAAAATTGGACATCTTTAGCTTTTCATCAGTTACCATTAAATCCAATCCCACAAATGAAGTGATTAGATTAACATTTTGAAGACATACAACAAGTTCGTTAAAGATAGTGATGTGTATTGGCAACTACTTGAGATACGTGTGTCTAATAAATTTATGCTTCTGCATGCAATTACGTCTCTCAAGAATAAACTATGAAGTCCTTGTTTACTCCAAAATGTTGGTCAGAATTCTCAATTTGTTTTACCCCACACATATTTTGCCATTTTCTCACAACTTGAGCTACTCCTTCATCGAGTAGAGACACATTTGAGTTGAGGACAAATTCTCAGTTCCGGAGTTGGGGTCAAATTCCAATGAGATTAGGGCTTTTGCATATCCCTCACTATTATATGTTTGATCAACCCTTGATAATTCTAGAACAGAGCCATACTTTTTTATTTTAATATTTTTCTACTAGTTTTATAATATTGTAAAAAATAGATGTGAAGATAGATATATACATGATGCTTTTTTTTTTAAAAGAAAAAAGGTAGCGTTGCTCTAATTGAAGCTAATATTTTATATTTAAATAGTTGTAAACATTAGATTATTGTTTTAGTCGATTATATGTAGATTATATATATATATATATATTTTTTTGAATAAATTTGTTTGAAAAATAGTTTTATGATAAGTAATTTTGTTTGGATGTAAAAAATGTTTTTGCCATAAGAAAATAGCATGCATGGTCAACAAAAGTCAGCATAAACCAGTAAACATGTTAATTGACGAATATTCAGGATAATGTACATTAATTAATTTCTAAGGAATATGCATGGAAACATCAAAATCGAATAAAGCAGTTTCTGTAAAAATCCATTCAACATTGCAAAGTGCAGATAATCGTAATCTCTAGGTGGGTGCACACACATGCATGATGCATGCTAAGATGAAAACGTGATCCGTTTTCTCAGGGATTTCTGAAAAAGATGATTTTTTCTGACAAGCTGAAACAAAAGAAATGAATTTGAAGGTGTGAGGTGATCCAAGGTAACGTAGGTTTTTGTGAAAAAAGGGGTGGATATTGAACGGCTAATATGAGAGAGGAAGCGCAAAAGGATCTCTATGTTGTGGGATGGTGAAGGATTTGTTTTATGCAATGGTATGGTATGCTAGGTTTTCTCTCTTTCTCTGTCTAATTATCTCAAAAAGAAAAGACGAGAAATGTGGAATATAATTATAAAATATAGTGATGAAGGTGGTGAGGATGGTTCAGTCCAACCAAATAATGCCTCCATGATTAAGATGTTGACCTTAACCATGCATACAAAATTCCTTTATGCTTGCTGCATGGACCACCAAAGCATGCACGTGTGTGTGGGTCTGTCACCACCCCCACCACCTAACTATATATCTCTTTTCTATTTTCTTAGAATGAATTCATATGATGAGTTTTGTGTATATGAATATGAGTAGAGAGTATTAGGAATAGGAACAGGATATAGCAGTAGTCAATGTATGGCTGTGAACTTACACGTAGATCATCACCACCCTTTCTTCCCTAAACGACATTGGTGCTTCTGTTTCTTTGAGCTTTCGTGTTCATCAATGAATCAATCAATGAATGAATGAATCGGTGAGCTGAATCATTCCCAACAGCTGGCGCTGATCATGGCCCTCCCCAAATCTCTTTTTCAATTCAACAATTCCCATTTGTTTATCTCATTCTGCTTTATTTTTGGTAGTGTCTCTCATTATGCTTTACCCCTGCTATAACATTCTTTTAGATAACATGTTTTTTTCGTTACAGACAATCATTCTTGAGGAGAGGTGGGAAAAACTATTGTGTCCAATGTTTTCAAATAAAAATTATTTAACTCTTATGAGTATTTGGGAGGTGTTTAATCAACAAATATTCATGAATTTTTCAGTCCAAATTCTTAAAATATTAGCGTTGTGAATTTTTTTAGGTGTAGATTATTAAACTTTCTTATTTTTTTTTACTTAGATTCCTAATACATTTAAAACATTGTCTAAATGAATATATTATGACAAAATATATATTTAAACCAATAATTAATTTTAAACACATTTATCATTATCTCATCATCTTGTCTCCTTGTAAAAGAATATTAAAAATATGAAAACTGTTAGACACAACTTTTTATAATGATTAATATATCATGAGAGTTTATATCTAGGTTTAATTTACATTACAATTATGTGGGTGCGTTTCTTTTTAGGAGAATACATATATTTCCTTTATCGGTATATATAATGTTTAAGTCAAATAAAACTATTATAAACCATAATTTTTTAAAAATATTTAATGTTACTACATATTTAAAGCTTAACTTTAGACCATTATTTGAATTGGAGTATATCAATTAAATAAAGAATAAACTAATAAAGAAATAAACATTTTAAAAACACCTCCATGGTAAGTGTTTAATTTTAACAACTTTACAATTTGTGTGGAAAGGAAAGCATTAAAGAAAAAGTATACAATCTGAGTTGGTCGTATAAAACTTGTTCTGGTGCTCTTTCAAGATTCAACCATGCACCGTCTAGCTCTCTCTAGCCTCCTAAACTACTAGCTAGAGTTAAGTGCACATCTTTCTAATAATTGTTTCTTGTAGTTTAATAAATGTACATAGAATTGATTAGTTTCTCTAGTGACCTTCTCATTTATTGGAAAAAAAAAAGTCCAAAATTCTAGAGTGAAATCCGCCATGCCAATCCCATCTTCCTTTAGTGGCCAAATTTGGATGTTTGTGACCTCATTCCCAAAACCAGCACAACAATTGCTGCTGGAACTGATAGGGACCCAACAATACGCACCACTAACCCTTTCCACACACACGCGCACACACACACACACGAGAAAACACGTAACATCTCATCTCATTCCATAAAATGCAAATAAGTGGAAAGAAAAATATGTATCCATTATTGATAATATGTTCATTAATCATCGCACGTAAATAATACGCATACACACACAGTTGGTGTCTTATGAAAAAGTTTTAAAAGAAGACACACCAAGTCCAACAGTGGTTTGACAAAGACTCTCTCTTTCTTTCCATGTTTTTCGGTTCCCTTATCCCTCATAAAGCTTTGCTAACATCCATACAACAAAGAAAAAGATCACAACACAACACCTTTCTCTCTATCTCTCTCTCTATTTCCACCAAAAAGAAAAAATCATAGACCGAGAATTTCACACACACACACACACACACAATTGTTAGTGTTTCAAGACAACCTCAACTGTAATAATGGAAACACATCATGAACCCCAAAAGAACACAGAAAACGATGTGCAAAAGAAAACGGAAGAAGGAGTACCAAACCCACCTTCACCATCCTCTTCCCCTTCTCATGACTTCTCCTTCACAATCTCTCTCCACTCTTCTAGCACCACAATCCATGATAAATCCAAAACTCCACCTTCTCTCGCAGTTGATTTATCTCCGGCAGATGACATTTTCTTCCACGGTCACTTGCTTCCCTTACACCTCTTATCTCACTTCTCTTCTTCTCCTCGTTTTTCCACCAACTCCGTGGACAGTTTCACTCTCCCCATCAGAGAGTTCTTAGAAGACGAAAAACGTGGCAGCTGCAACAGCAGCAACAGGAGCAACATCACCATAGATAGGATTACCAACTCCAACAACGAAGAAGACTACAACAATAGAGTCACAAAGGAAGAAAGCAAGTCCAAGCTTAGTTTCTCATTGTTTGGGTTATCAAAAGGGCGTAAAGGGTGTGAAGTTAGAGACAAACAAGATAAAGAGAACAGTAAGAACAAGAAGAAACCCGGGTATGATGTGATGCATGCACTAAAGAAGTACTTGAGAATGGTGCAGCCACTAGTGCTTTTCAGAGGGAAAAGAGAAAAAGGTCAGTTCCATGGACAAGCTTATTCTCATTCAGGGAATTTGATTCGGAAAAGCAAGCCTGAATTGAGAGGAAGAAGAGGTGAGTTTTCAGCACCTGCATCTATGAGAACTTCTCCGACAAACAGTGGTCTTCTACTTGCAACCGCTGCTCTCCCTGCCAGTGACAGCACCATGGAAGAGTTGCAAGCAGCCATTCAAGCTGCAATTGCCCACTGCAAAAATTCGATTGCAAAAGAAGAGAAGCTAAATTGCTGATACACGTGGTAGATGCTATTTTTTTGTTACTAGTTGTGCTTTTTATTGTCATAGTTTTGGTGTTTTATATTCTAGTAATGCTAAATCTACGCCTGAAGATCATTACACTTGGTTGCCGATAGGGTAATTCTTGGTTTCTAACATTCCTCGAGGTGAAATTTATTTATTAAAACAATATTTATTCCTCGAGTAACTGATAAACATTGATGATCAATATATAATTAATACATTGGTAACTGAATATGACTCTGGTGTGGATTTTTTCAGATAATATTTCCAATTTATTTGCGCACACACACAAAAAAAAATTTAGCATTTCCCGTTGCATTTTAAATAATTTTGGGCACAGAAAAATATATGTGCCATTACGAGAGTTTGAAACGACGGGCAACTGTTAAAAGTATACAAGTCAGAGAAGATTGACGATTTCTGTCTTGTAGCGAATAGTATCTCATAAAATTCTGAAAACTCTGCAATCGCGTCTTTTTCCATAATGAGGTGATAGAAACAATTGTCCCTCGCCGCCATGCCTCCCTCCTCATGTGAAAATGGTAAAGAGTTGGTTCTTCCAAGTAAAATTTTAAGTTGCAGTGTAGTAATCACGAGGAAAAAAAAACTAACAATAAGATAATTTTTCTCTCCTACAAGGTATTAAAAAAAGCATTGAGACTACACTAAATGGGATAACAAGGAATATCTATCTATCTATCTATATATATATATATCTGTAAACTGTTCGCAAATTTTTGTTTAATAAAAGGGCACTGATCTCAATATAAATGGGAATTTTCAGTTCTGACATCTCAATGATAAGCATACATGTAGTAGCTAGAGAGGCGTCAGAAAATTTCAACCATAAAACTGCCTATGTTTTTTCTGACATTCTCCTCGTAGATGATCTACACTGACGAGAGCGTTTAAGCATCTGTTATTTTTATTTGTATTTTTTGTTTTCATTTTCCCAATGTCGTGGTTATTTTGTTTAACTTCTCCTCAAAACAAGTCCAATCGAAACGTATTTTTGGAGGCGAAGTACTAGATTCCCTGCCAAATAGTCCGTTCTACCTTGTCACAATCATGTCCCCATCGTAAGAACTAAGAAAGACTGTATTCATGGAACCACGAAGGTGAGGTTACAACTGTCACTGACTTATACGTACGTAAAGGTTGGGAACATGTTCTTTACACGCTTAACAGTTACGAAAGCGCAATGTAAACCAACCAAATCCTAGAGGCAGAACAAGGAAAATCAAATCATTATGCGATTTACCATAGTTTCAAACTTAACAACTTAAGAAACACTCTTCTTGGCATCAAATTATAAAGTTAAAAAGGTCAAATCACCTTTTTGTAGCCCCACATGAAGGCAACGAATGAAATTAAAAAGGCACTCGAAGGTTGGAGGAATTTTTTATTTTATATATATATAATAATAATAATAATAATAATAATAATAATAATAATAATAATAATAATAATAATAATAATAATAGTGAATAAAATCAAAGAAGGGTGGTGAATGGATAGGGATGGCATGACCACAAAACAATTAAGAGAAGAGCATAAAGTTCCAAGTACCAATTATATGAGGGTTATATATAATGCAGAGAAAATATATAATCCCTACATGTAATTAAAAGGTGAGACAGTAGTGATGAAAGTCATAAAGATCATCTTAACAATTAATGATAAACATAATGATGAGCATAGCTATACTACGAGTCAAGTATGATTACAATTTACAAAATGTTTTCTTTATGCAGAGGACCACCATCTGCGATCGCTGTTGGACTATGAGTCAAATTGGAACAAAATCCCATTCTATATGCAAAGTGCATGTGCTGTGTTTGATCTTCCACTTTAGGTGGAAAGCTTGCACAACATAGGACATGGAGTAACGTTTCAAGCATCTGGTAATAAAATTTAATTTAGAACGCATGTTTGCGTTCTTCATCAGAACGCACTAATTATCAATAGGAATAAACTTTCTGCATCACATTCACATGTTTAAAATGAGTCAGATTTCAATGATATGTAAATACGTAGTCTATATTTACTCCAAATAAAGCTGCAACTTTTGAGATAAGGAAATAAGACAAGAATTCTTTAAATGACCCAATCCCACAATGAGGAGGACCACTTGATCGGTCCCATGTAAATGACACAACATGCCATGTTGTTGTTCAATACGTATTTTAGTGTGTTGGACTGAAATTACAGTTTGTTCATGCAATTGGGTCAAGAGACAAATGGACCAAGAGCCCAAGAAGGAAACCACCTACTAAACAAGATAATTTGCCTATGCAAACAAAGAAACTAAGTATGAACAATTCCTGAAAAGCTTTGTAGTTCCCATCCGCAGCGATAAATCTTTATCACCAGAATGAGTTTTTGGACAATATTCAGAATGCAGGAAATTAACTGCGCATCTAGAATCAGACTCTTTAACTATGTTTATGGCATGCAGAAATGAATGGCCCATGACTCAAGGTGAATGATGGAGCAATTACCAACATTGCAGAAAAAACACTACAATAGCAACTGTAGTATGATTATGTAATACCCCACCACAAAATAAGCTACACTATTAGATTTCCTCTGTTGAGAGAGCCAAATCCACTGGTGGAAGAAACAAACACACTGAAAATCGTAGTGTAAGTGGAAGAACATGTGAAGTTGATGAAAGTGGTCCCACGGATAGAAGATAAAAGTGGATATGGCAAGTCCCGAGTCATATATATGTGTATAGAGAAGAATAATCGCGGCGCAGCCATCCACAGAAAAGTTTGATAGAGTTCTGTGTGGTCCCTTCCTTTCCAAACAAAACAACAACCTAACATTACTGGGTTATTGTCGATTATTACTCATGACATTACACATGACAGAACCATTATCAGATTTCACTCTTATACGTACCACCTTCCACTCTGGTCCTCCTCGCAAGACAAACCCTATTAGGCCCATCAACGGAAACTGACGGTGTCTACATTTTTATAATTGAAAAATAAATGATAATTCAATTCAATATAATAATATTAAAAAGAAATCTTAATCTTAGAAAACATTTTTAGAAATTTGGATATTTTTTAAGCATTTATAATATCCCACTCCTAGAGCTACTCCGCCCCTAAAAAACACACAGATATAATAATTATCTTTGAATAATGAAAATAACATTAAAATAAATAATTTTACATTCTTCTTTTCATTGAATACTGGTCTAATGTAATCTTTTCTTACCAACACGTAGTTTTATAAAAACATTCAATATTAATAATAATTTATTTTTATGATAATGATCTTGTAAATAATATTATAATGATTTGTGGTTAATTAGCGTGCTTACACTACCAAGACAATAGCATTAGCCTCACATAAAAATGTGCTACCAAAAATGCAGAAGGATTAAATTGAGAAATCTTTAAAGAGAGGAAAATTAATGTTTAATCTTTTATGTTTGAAGTTAGAAGCTGTAATAATTTATCGTGTAGGCTTTGTAGAATAGTGTTATCGTAGAAAAAATGAGTTTAGGTTTGTGATTTGATTTGTGTGTGAAAATGGCGAGGATGAAGAAGCGTGAAGCAAGCAGCATAGATTGATGGATCCAACATTGTGAAGAAAACCAACGAATCTGAAAGCGGGCCCCACATTCACCGATGTATGACGTAACACTTCCCCGCCAATAACCTCTCCTCCTCCCGCCGCGACACACTCTTCCCCCCATCACAAAATTCAACCACTTCTCTTCTCCAACTTACACATTACACTACACCCTTCCTTCACAATTTTCATTATTATTCTCCTCCCGGACCAAACCCAATATTCTTTCGTCCACGCTTGTAAATAATTTTGCGACTCCCTCCAAATCCGTCCTCTGGATTAATTATGATCGTAGTTCAATTATCCAATCCATTCCGTGTCTTGTGTTGTTCTGTCTGAGATTTGAGTGTTGCAAAAGCGAGATTGGATTTATGATAAGGGGTGGAATAATCGGGGAGGATGCAAACGGTGGGGAGACTACTGAGTCAGGGTGTGTACACAGTTTCGGGGCCGTTTCATCCGTTCGGTGGCGCCGTCGACATTGTGGTCGTAGAACAGAAAGATGGTAGTTTCAAGTCCTCGCCCTGGTACGTTCGATTCGGCAAATTTCAAGGGGTTTTGAAGGCGAGGGAAAAGGTGGTCGATATCTCTGTCAATGGGGTGAGTGCTGGTTTCCAAATGCATCTCGATCATAAGGGGGAAGCTTACTTTCTCAGGGAAATCGTTGCACAAGAAGAAGTCAATTTGGTGTTTCCGTCTTCTTCTGGCAAGGTTAAAGATGATCACTCTCGCAGGTCCAAGAGTTGCGATTATGATAGTGGTGAGGTTGTCAGTAATAGTGGTTCTAGCCGTTCCAGAATACTTAGCCTTGTGTTTGGGAGAAGGTCTTTGAAGCAAAGAGAGGGTGATGGTGATGGAATTGAGAACAGGGTGGGTTCGTTGGAGCGTGCTGAGATTGCCGCTAACTTGTTAGACCTCAAGTGGTCCACTAATCTCTCCGGGGAACAAGGGCAAGGTGTTCTTGCTAAATCGTCTGGGGATGGTAACGTGGTCGTGGATGATATTGACTTGAATAAGGAAGCTTGTTTTGGTCGTGAATGTGCCTTGAATGGGAAGGAAGTTGTGTATGATATCGCAGAGTCTGACGTGAAAGTTGCGTGCGTGGAGGTGAAGCTTGTGGAAAAGGAACTGAATGGAGAAGATGTTTCAGCTGATGGGGTTTGCCGTGAAACACCAGAAACTTCAAAGTTGGCCGTGGCTTGTTCTAGTGAACAAACTCAAGAAGTGGTGTACCTTGCTGGCGCAGCAGGATGTGAAGAAGTCCGTGTCCATGTCCATGATGAAGTCTTGCATCGTGCAACTGTACTGTTATCTGAGGTACATTTAAATTCAAGGACAAGTAGCCTTCACCTATGATTTTGGCTTGAGGAATTGGACAGAGCTAAATAGTGCCAAAGCAATTACGTTCTCCTATCAAAACTAGCAATAGAAAATATGACACTGGTTACCAAGATGCCAATTTTAGTTACTTAGATGAGATTGATGGCTGCATTGAAGGTCAGAAGGAATGACTGGGATAAAATATAACACTGGCCGATTTTGATTGGAGAACAATAACATTAGTATTTATGATACTATATTTATGTTTTGTCCAATAATAAATGACAATAAATTCTTTGTATGGAATTTTTTACATGTCAACTGGAATAACTACAGAATCATTCTCAATCCTCAAAATACTTCTACTAATCCCCCTACTTACCATATTCAGAAAGTATTGAAATACATTTCATTTTGAGATATTAAATGCATTTACTTTTTCATTTAATACTTTCTTTCTTACAGAGGTACTAGAAGGTTTTTGTAGAAGGATATACCACTGTAGCATTGCTCTTAAATCAAGCAAACATTTACTCTCTTTTGGTTGACACTCACATTAAAGTTATCCTTTAGGGTGCACAAGCTGTGGAAGTTATTGAGAAGGCTGATATTGGGATGCCAGTATTGGAGATTTCCGAGTTTCATTCCGAGGTTCAGCAAATAGATTGTTTGGATTCTGGTGATATTTTGTGTAATGAGTTGGCTATTGAAGAGCAATCAACATCTTCAAAGCCCCACACTGTCAACATTGGCCTAGGAGATTGTTCACGTGAGAAAGTTGAGCCGAACTGTGTCAACAAACCTTCCAGTTACAGCATCCTGGATGACCAAGCCATAGGCGAGAATGTGAACAAGGACGTCTCTGGCACATTATCAACTCCTCTAGACTCTGTTGATGATTGTTTACCTCGAAAAGCATCAGGGATATCACCATCATCAAGCTCAGATGATGTAAATTTCCTTTTCAGTGATCTTGATGAAAGTGTAATCAATGATCGATTCAAGAGAACACTCTTCTCTGAACATGTATATAAAGACAATCATGTTTGTTACGAGAATGAAACTGAAAAATTAACAGCAATATCCGGTCCCATAGTCATTCCTAGAAATGATGCTGCTGGAGAAAACGTTGGGCAGCATTTGGGGTCCTTGCCAAATCTTTCTTCTGGCAGAGACATCGTGGTCCAACATGATATTCGTTATCCTTTAAGTCAATCACTGGGCTCAAAATCATTATCCTTGCCATGCGCATTTCCTGGAGAAGATGATTTGGAATGTTTAAAACCTGTAGAAGACAAAGGAAACCAACTAACACACGAGGAGTCAGGTGCCAAGGATTATCATAATTCTGGGGAAATCAAAGGTACAGCTCAGAAGCTTCCCCTTGGTAAGAGAACCTATTTAAGTTGCCTTTCAACTAAATTGGAAACAATCCATGTCTTGGGATAATATTTCATTCTCTTCTAATAGTGTACTGAACATACTGTTTTTTTTATTTTTATGGAATGATTGTTGAACATTTTAGAGCAACAAGTTGTAATTTCACTAAAAAGATTCAGATGCTACTTTGTATTTTGAGCAGACTTGTGTATTTATCTTAGTAAATGAAGGTTTTTGTCATTGTTGTAGCTTTGATAATAACATAAAGCTCTAGCCAGTAGGTAGTTACTGTAATGATTTATCATTTATGCAAACAAAAGCCTCTTTAAACACTTGTTTTATGAAGGAATGGAATCTTACTGTACTTCTAAAGCATTCAGTGCTGAATATCTCGTTGGTAAATAAATTTACTTCTCTGCACCCAGAGGGATAATAGGCTTGTCATTGAGATTGGTTATCATTATTTATCCTGGAATGTAGACATGGTGTATTTTGAATGTCTATATATATCTGAACTGAAAGGCATGATACCAGTTGACCAAGTTGAGAAAAATCGTACAGGAGATGGTCCATCCACACACAACCCTTCCTCTGGTGGAAATTGGACTCTTTGGCCTTTCTCCTTGAGGAGTACAGGATCTAAACCTTCTGTGTTGCCTCCTTCTCTTAGTGATGCCAAAGACACTACTGATGGTAATGCCCTAGAGAATACAATTAGCACAGATATGAAAAAAGAGGAGTCCAAACCCAATATAAAAAAAGTGATGGTTAGGGAAACAACTCCAACTTCTGAACAGGTAGCCTCCTTGAATCTGAAGGATGGGATGAATACTGTGACCTTTACTTTCTCTACAGCTGTGCTGGGGAAGCAGCAGGTCAGTAATCATTGTTTTCTATAATTTTACTTTAAGAAGATGACGGTTACTTCTCGTTTTCTTTTATGTATGTATTTTTAATTGAAATATCTCGTTTACTATTATCTTATATGTCATGTTTAACTGACAGGTTGATGCTCGAATATATTTGTGGAAATGGAACACTCGCATAGTGATCTCTGATGTGGATGGTACGATTACAAGGTGAGTATATATATATATTGGAAAAGGTTTAAATATGCTTTTAGTTCATGTAAAATAAATCTGTGTTGATTCCTGTAATATAATTTCTTTGTTTTCAGTTCCTTTAAAATTGAAAATCGTTGTTTATTATCCATAGTAGTATTAGGCGACACTCGTTATCTACTTATTATGTGTTCTTGAACGAAAAGTTAAGAGATCAATTTAAGTGGTGCTTACTAATGCTGTGATATAAAGTTATCAAAGAACATATTTAAAAGTTATTTATTTATCATAAGATGGACGTTAGGAACTAAAATTAGTAATTTCAAATTTTGAAAGGGTGAAAAACAAAGAAAAATATTTTACAGGAATTAAAACCAAAATTTATTTTATAAGTACTAAAAACAATGAATTCAAATTTAACATAAAGAAAAACAGAAATTGTTGGAATCTCGAGGACTTTCAACATCCTGAAAGTTCTTGACTAACAGAGTCTGTGTCTTCTGCTTATCTTCTGTTGTTATTTTCGAAAGTTATAACTGTATAGTTTGCAAATTGTAAGTTCTCTCTTGTATACAGGTCGGATGTTCTCGGTCAGTTCATGCCTTTGGTTGGTATTGACTGGTCACAGACAGGTGTCGCACATTTATTCTCCGCTATTAAGGTTTGTTTATCTTGACCATGTTGTAATTTTGATGTTTTGAGACTGCTACGATGTGGTATATAGTGTACATCATTACATATGGGAAGTTTTTGGGGTAATTAGGTATGCTCAAAACAAATAATTGGTTGTGTTATCTGTTTAAGCTCGATTTTTTCTTGTATTTTAAATTTTTTATTGATTCTAATATGATTAATTTTCTGAGGAGTTTAACCATGGGAACTGTAGCTTGCCCTGCCCATAACAACTATCTTTTTATCTCTTTTCACCTTGTTTGGTGTCTTTCATGGTCTTTTCCTGGTCAATTTCACATATACAGGAGAATGGTTACCAACTTCTTTTTCTCAGTGCTCGTTCAATTTCTCAGGCCTATCTTACACGACAATTCCTAGTTAACCTTAAACAGGTGATGTAAATAAATTAGCAATCATTTTCCAATCCATATGGACAAAAAAATTAGAAAGGAAGGAAAGTCATTTACATTTTTTATATTTATTTTATAAATTGCAGGATGGAAAAGTTTTACCTGATGGTCCCGTTGTTATTTCTCCTGATGGACTTTTCCCCTCTCTATATCGGGAAGGTAATATCCTTTCTTCTCTGCTGCTTCTTAATGTTCCCATTCTTCTAAGTGTACAACTTTTTTTTTAAGCGAGGGGGGCTGGGGGAGTGTTCAGGGACTACTTTAATATAAAGTAATTGTAAAAAATTTACCGCATTACATGAATGTAGATTGTGTTTATTGATACTTGAACTTAGATTTCACAGGCAGAACAGGATAAGGAAACAAGGTTATTAAATTTATTAAGAAGTTGTGAACAATCTAATACGTTACTGTGTCTTAGTTAATTTCCCATCCAAACGTACTTAAACCTAAATGTAAGGAATCTAGTGCAAAGAAGTGAAAACTTCTTTGCTTAATGTCTTCTTGAAGAGGTAAGTTGATATTTAAGTAATTTGGCAGTACCTAGCTCATTCGACAAAGCCTGAAATGGAAATCTGGAGGCTGGACTCTCTTGTGCGCTGCTATTTCCTTAAACAATAGATGGCCTTTGTATGATAGGGTAAGGATATAGTATTGTACTAGGAACCTCTTCGAATAGTATAAATGAGGAAACATGAATAAAACGACGACATTCCACTTTGACTCCCTTATATCACATGAATACATATAAGCACTTTGCATTCCATAAATGAACAAGTTTTGAATTTTATATGGCACTAGTTCTGATTTTTTTTATTCTAGATCACGTAAGACACTACCACGTGCAGTTGTGACCAATATATTTAGGACTTTTTCATGATTTTTGAAACTTTCATGTTAGTATGGTGTATGAATGAGAGTATAAGGATTCATCAAAATTCAAGGCGCCCGTGTCTTGTCAGTATAAATTCTGGTCTAAAACAACTTTCTTTTTTTCTCTATTTCCAGTTATTAGGAGGGTTCCCCATGAATTCAAAATTGCATGCTTAGAGGTTAGTTTTCCTCAACCACATATTAAATTTACATATTCTAAAATATTTCAACCTTGTCATTCCCAATGATATTAAAGTCAATTTGAATTTTTTGTCATCAGGTCATCAAGGAACTCTTTCCGTCTGATTGCAATCCTTTCTATGCTGGTTTTGGTAATAGGGATACGGATGAAATCAGCTACCTTAAAGTTGGAATTCCCTTGGGAAAAATCTTCATAATTAATCCCAGGGTAAATAATTCCATTTCATTTTTAAAATGTAAATATTTGTTAGAAGTTTTCTTAAATGTTTTAAGTTTTGTCAAACTTTTCTTATTTAAAATTTTACAGGGAGAGGTTGTTGTAAACCGTCGCGTTGATGCAAAATCATATGCTTCTCTGCATGCTCTCGTGAATGGGATATTTCCCCCTACAAACTCTTCTGAACAGGTTTAATCTTGAATTTATCTTTTATTTTCTTGTTCATAATATCGTGAATGGGATATTCCGCATATTTTTTTGTCGTGGTCTTCCCAGAATCTAAAATTCAATGCAAAACATGTTGAGTGTGGGAGAGAGAGGGGACGGATCTTTTTATATTTTCCTGCTGTGTTAAATCTTCGTTACATTATTATTCTGTGAATGTAAGTTTCGTTCTATTAAGTTTTTTTTTTTTTTTTTTTAAAGCTGCATAATGTAAAATTGCGGTTTACCCATCTTCTTGCTGAACCTTATTTTCAGGAGGACTTTAATTCATGGAATTTCTGGAAACTACCCCCTCCAGCAATAGATATTTGAAAGGTCCCCATGGATTTTCTGGCTCAATTATGATGGTTTGGATATGGATGGGCGCAGGCTGTGCTGCTCCAAGAATTACATGGGTAAATTTATCAATTCTACATATTCTACTCCAACTCTAGGATTTAGTTTTAGTAATACTTGATATATTTTGCCTAGCTTTTTAACTGAAGTGTTTCCTTTAATTTAATCAGGAACTTAATAGGAATATCTTTATATTTATTGTAGTATAATATGTTCAATATTTCACCTGGAACTGAAGTATTGAAGATATTATTAATGTGGCCATATTTATTGTGCATGCTACTTCATTGTTTTAGCTTTTTTGCTAATACAGGTTATATATATGTACCTGAGCCCACGAGAACCACCTTATTCTGGTATTGACATGTACTGTGAATTGATTGATCGGACGGAACTCATAATTTGGTGGATGGAATTCTTATGAAAGAGCAGGATGAAACTTCTTCCCTTTTTGATGCTGCGAGATCAAATCCATTTTTGTCCTTGGTTAGTTATAATATTAACCCATGACCACTTAAGTCATGGAATCCCACACCTGATATCATTTCTTGATTATAGATAGATTAGTGCATAGTTAAGTCCTTTTTCATTTGTGATTAACTTGTATATGTATGTAACTACTTGAGTTATGCCTCTTCAGTTCTATTATTCTAACATATAGAAAAAGTTTATGCTTGTTTTCATTCGTTATTATTTTTTCAAAAAAATTGCCACTCTAACAGTATATATACTTATTTGACATCTCTCATTTCTCTTCTTGCCAGATCAGATCTAATCACATTATTACTTCTATCGCATTTCTTTTTCTCATTAAGGTGTAGATTAGCATTGGGTGTTCACCAAACATTGTTCCTTACTTTTATTTTTCAGCCTTCTGATCGTGTAAGTTACGAATTTTGCTGCAACTTCCATTGTAAAATGTTTTTATATGTTGGGACACCTATATATCTCAAACAATCATTTGACACTCTTTATGACTCTTTGTATTCTCTTCTTATCATGTGTCATTTATCATATATCTGTACTTTTTTTTTTCTTCTCTCTCAAGGTATCAACAAGCATGCCCATTCATCTTTATCCTGAAATTAAAGATGGACTCAAGGGCAAGAAATAAGATAGTATATGAATTTATGTCACCAGAAAATTGCTGAGTTTTTTTTAAGTGTTTTAAAAGAATAATTTTAAGTTCTTATTAGATAAAAATAGTATTGAATGTTTTAAATTTACAAAACATTAAGTTTACACATACTTTCATGTAATACATTACAAAGTATTACAAATATATAAAATATTACAGAAAAATATAAATACAAAAGAGTCACAATTTTTTTTTAAGATACCATCTAATCTTTAATCGTCAATTTTATGAAAAGTCGCATGTTCGAAACATTGTTGGAATATTAAAGTAAGTTTTCTTTCTAGTATAATAGTTAATAGTTTTTAGTAACTTTTCTTAAGTGTATATATATATAATGAAAAAAACATAAAAGTAGATAGAAAAAATGAATCTATATGATCTAATTTCTAGAATGGCGAGGGACAATGTATAGAATTGTTCCTTCTTATTCTATGTACGTACGTTGTATATATCATACAGACAACCTCTAGTGAGTGTTGACATTATTGTATAAATTTGGATTAATTATTGTTTTAGTTATGGAATAAGGTTGCCGCCTTTTCTCTCTCTCCTATTAGTTGGCACATAAATGGTGATCTGTTATAATTTGTTCTCCTTGCAAGTTGGGTTTATATAGAAAGTATATATAAACATAAACTTATCCATATGCACCATGGATCTATATATTTCATTTTTAAGTATACATATATTTCCACTTCTCACTCTCCTCATTATCTACAATAGACATTTTCAAATATTATTTTTATGATAAGACGCAAAAAAAAAAAAAAAAAAAAAAACATAGAAGTGAATTGAGTGCATGATGCGAGAGCATGAGAAAAACTAGCGTGTGATCATAACATTGAAATGCTTGTCTGCAAACTGCGCAAGGTTTATGAACTCCTTTTCATCGATGAAACCGTCGTGGTTGGTGTCTGCAAACTTGAAAGCCTGGCCACTACTCCACGACGCAAAGAGCCCTCCGGTGAGGCGCACGGCACGACGGAGTTCGGCTTTGCTGATTCTTCCGTCTCCGTTTGTGTCAAATGCCGTCATCAACCACCGTCTAAACTGCTCCACCGTCATCACACGCTTTCCATCACTCGCCACATTCCGCTCTATGAACGCCATGTATAATATCTTAATGTTCTTTCTCTATGAACTACCTATTATTCATCGCCTCAAGTTTGGGTTCGGTATTTATACTGCCACATTTGCTTCGTATTGTGTCAATGTATTATTTATTTACGTATACATGAATAATGTATCCAATATTTTGTTTGAATACTTTATAAAAGAATACGAATCGTGTATATTCCTTGCTATTATTTGTCTACAATAGATTGTTAGACGCATCAACATTTTGCATTAACACATGCGCACACATTAAACGTTTTAATTATTTTTTAAAATTTCGGTTAAATAATTTAAATATTAAGTTAAATTGGATCTTATTTGATAAATTGTTGTATCCTTCCCGTATACAAAGTTCACACATTCATAAATTGTGTGTCAAAGTAAAGAATTTTCATACAAACACGTCAATATAAATATATATGGTTCAATTTAATTTAGACACAGGTTTCACAATTCAAAATCAATTTTACCAAGTTTAAAATCTAAGTGAAGGAGAGTGATTATAAGGTCATCTACAATCATTTCTCTTAAAAAAAAAAATTAAAACCAATTGAAATAGCACTTGTTATCGTCCAAGAATAATAAGGGATGCTCATAGAAGCTGCTTTTATATGACTTTATTTTTTTAATCTCAATATAATACATAAAAGCTATTGTTAGATGGTAGCTTTATTGGAACTAATTTTGCTCTTTTTTTTTTCGACAATAATAATTTAAAAAGCTACAGCAGAACGACACGGGAATAGCTTTAATAGGACAGTTTTAACAAAACTTTTATTTAAGATTGTGTTTAGTACAACTTGCAATGTCTTTCTCACGTTATTCATTACTTTCAAATTTTGAAGCAAAACATGTAATAAATTTATAAAAATATATCATGATTATATAATGACAAAATGAGCCTCGCCATTTTTGAATGATAATATGTGAACAGTGATGTTTCTCAATATTTATCATTTGACATAGCCATATAATGCATGCACGTAGTTAATTTGATGTATTGAAAAAATTGATAGTAAATTTTCTCAAATCCTCTATGTATATAAATTAGATTCATTTTATCATGTTTTAATAAAAATATTATGAAGCAAAAGCATTTTGACAGGTTTTTTCTATAAAGACTTGAAAGAAAGTGTGTTTAGAAACCATTATCTCATGTATTGAACATTTGATTTTATTTTGTAAAGAAATTATCAAATAGTTAAGAACAGTATTATATCACGATATAAAAACGAAAGTAAGAGAGTGAACATAACATGAAAGGGGGTGAAAATAATAGTTCGTCTGCATAATCTGTGGCCCATGGACAAGGATTAGTAAAACTGTGACCGGTTTAATAATGAAGCGAAAGTACCGGTTAAACAGATTTGGGGCGATTATTTAGTGATGGGCCGAAATTAATAACGGATTAAGGCGTAGTTAAGGTAGTTAAGATAAGATAGAAAAGGGAGATGTTGTTAAAGTGAAGGGATTGAGTGAAGAGGAAGGCTAAGATGGAGTCCCGCGGACACTCAAACCCGCTTCTGTCGTTTTCCAGCTTCATCCACCAACACTGCGTCCGTCTCCGGGCCGACCTCGCGACACGTTTGGATGACACCAAGCGAGCCCTAGCTCAAGCTCATCATAATCTTCTATCCCCCAAACACGCCCTCGCCGCCACTGCCACTGCCACGTTGAGTTCCCACCACGTCGCTAAGTCCCTCGTCGGCACCTCTGTTTACACCGTCAGCAATTCCAACAATGAGTTCGTTCTTATCTCCGACGCCGACGGAGCCAAGTCCATTGGATTGCTCTGCTTTCGCCAAGAGGACGCCGAAGCCTTCCTCGCTCAGGTTTCTTCCTTCCTATTTCCCTTATTTTCCTCCTCTTAATTGCATGCTACTCATCCGTTTCTCACGCTTTTAGGTTCGATCGCGGACAAGAGAACTTCGAAACAAGGCTAGGGTTGTTCCAATTACTCTCGACCAGGTGCTTTTCAATTTCTCAACTGTCTCGTCGTAATGCTGCTTTTCTGAAAATGAGAAATAAATGTTAACGTGGATTTCTTAACGATGCTTTGGCTTTAGGTAATGTTGTTTGAGTTAATGCGTGGATGATTTTCTATTACTGCTGTTTCTGTACAATATTATATTATGTCGTCAAAATTTATATATATATATATATATATATATATATATATATATATATATATATATATATATATATATATATATATATATATATATATATATATATATATGGTATATTGGCAACATTGTGTTGATTCTTACTTGATTAGCAGTATATATATTTTGCCAATGTCGAACCTGTATCTATCTAATGCCTTTAATTGACCTATTCATGTTTGTCACTCAAAAGAGTTTTGGATTGGCTTCTATCATGTTGAAAAACACGTAGGAATTGAGTAATCAATTATGATATAAACAATTCTTTTTGAAAAAAAGTTTAATTCCCATTTACATTTGAGGTTCAATATAAGTAAGACAATCTGAAATGCCCCTTTGAATTCTTATTGACATGGTTATGTGATTGTTAGCATTTATATCATGACCCATGTCACATATTTGACCTTTCATATTAAGAAGGGGAGGATATGCTACTGATTTCAACTAGTTAATTTTTTGAGCTCATAAACTCTAGTGTTTATCCTGTACCTTTCATGTATATGACTATTCCAGTGCAACAGGTATACATGTTGAAGGTGGAAGGCATTGCATTCCGGTTCTTACCTGATCCAGTTCAAATAAAAAATGCTTTGGAGGTTAGCATCTACAATTTTTGCACGACCATTTCAGTTCAATGGCAATGACAATAATGAGAGAAAAATATCTTTGATAATATAATGTTAGCTGAAGTGTGGGAATTAGTTCTGTGACATTAATTTAAACTAAATTATACTTGAACATGTTGCATATATGCTAGTGAACAAGAGCTGTTAGATTGTGTTTAATGTAGCTTCCATTTCACGTTTTTCAGCTCAAATCAGCCAACAAGGCAGGTTTTGATGGAGTTCCTGTGTTTCAGGTGTGTTCTCTTATACATTTTGTGAACTTTAGATGGTTTGTTGTTGGGACTTGCAAAAATGGTATGAACTTGTCTTTTGACTTATATATTATTTATCAGTAGTAAGGGAACCATTATACTTAAGTTCAATTTTCTCACTGAAATATTTGTCAACTAATTAACTGCAACCATTGTGTAGAATACAAATAAATATTAGAGACTGGCTGATAACTTAAAGCCATTTCACTATTTTAGTATTTCGGTGGTAGACTGGTACTGTCGACTCATAACCATAGCTGCTTGCAGTCTGAACTCTTGGTTGTGAAGAAGAAGAATAAGCGTTACTGCCCTGTATATTTCTCTAAGGTTTGCCTGATTCGTCCATCATATTGATTTATTGTTCTTTCATATATTATCTAGCATCATTAGTCCCATGCATTTCGCTTTATAATACATAATTATATAGTATTTTATCATTTTTTTCTGGTTAAATGGGCAGGAGGATATTGAGCAGGAACTGTCCAAAGTTTCCAGGGCATCCAGAGGTGTTTCTCAGCATATAGTGGTATAGTATCTGCCATCCTTGCTCTTGTTACTTGGGAGCATGTTTCAAAGTGTTATCTATTTAAATTGTTATACTTTTCACATTGCAATGCATTGATCAAAGCATGACATCAAGCTGTTGTATATTTTCTTAAACCTTCAAAAGGCTAATTTTGTGTCGCAAGTGCTTTGTGCAAGACTTACCTTTATTCTTGAATAAATATTAACTTATAACTACCTGTACGATCAACTTGAAAACTTGCTGAACATTTGGTTGAATCCTAGTGGTCTGTGTGCTATATTTTCCTAGTAACCATGACATCAATTTCTTCTAAGGAAATGATTAAGGTATGAGATGCTTGTGTTATTTAAATTATGCTTTGAATTGTAATGGGCTTGGAAACAATTATGCTAATGGAATAATTAGTTTTAGCTCTTTAAATTATTTGCTTTCTGTCAATGCTTTTCAATCTTCATGGTAAGCAAAGCATCTTTCAATGGATGTTTTCAATGTAAAAACAGCAATCGAAGGGCTTGTTTGATTGAAGAAAACATTTTTTTTTCATTAATAATGACGTTAATTATCATGTTTTGGTCTGTATTCTTCGATTGGAAAAAATTTTGTATAGGAAATGGTGAAAGATTAGGGGGAAAGATTGAAGATGTGTATTCACCATTTTCTGTATAAATCATTGTAGCAGGAAAGGAAAGAAAGTAGGAAAAAAAACCTAACATTATTTAATTCTTACTGAAAATAAGAAACGATGACAGAGAATGTTTTCCAAACCAAACAAAGCACGTTCTTGTGTAAACTCTTTTAATTTGTCATCCATCAAACGGGTTAAGGGGAAAGTAAGAAACTTGTTTTTTTTTTTTTAAATAAACTGGATTTAGATTTGTGTCTCTGTGGTTTTGAGTAACCACGTGGTCCCTGTGTGCTAATCTCAATCCTGATATTATGTTAGATATCTTGCATTATTTAAATAATACAATAACTTGCACGCTAGAGTGGATATGTTTCCGTAATCTGTCATTTTTAACTTATTTGAAGTTTGTGTTTCTCTTGTTTTCCGTTGGTAAATAACAGGTTGGTAGCTTGGAAGATGTACTGAAAAAAATGGAGGTACTTAACTCTACTTATAAGTTGTGTAGCTTATCAGCCTGGCAGTAGTTTGAATTATGATAAGTTCACTATCTCTTGATACAGATGAGTGAAAGGAATTCAGGATGGGAAGATTTGATTTTTATTCCCCCAGGAAAAAGTCACTCTCAACACATACAAGAAATAAATAAATGATTCCCAGGTTGCAACTTAAGCTAACCGTAATTTTATGTGGTTTTCTTGAGATAATTGGATGTTCTTGTCGCAATTTAGTCCGCTGGTGAGATGCGAGGACCTCTGCCTTCGAATTGTTGTGTTATTCTTTCTTGTCTTCTCAATAGAAATTCCTTTTGATGCGAATGCTGCATTAAGATTCTCAGTGGATGTAACGTAAATTCCTTATGAGGTCGTTCCACTGTAGTTGAGCTTGCTGTATGAGGGGTGTTCTAACTCATACATGTACAGATAACGTATTCGTTTTGGCAATTGCTGTAATTCTTTTCCTTGAATTCTACTTTTATTAGTACGGGGAAGATAATGGTCTTCATTTACATTTGATATCCATTCTGTTTTATAATATAAGAGATCTATAATTTTTTGATGGAGATTAAGAGAGGGTTAACACGATTCATCACATTTCAAGCACAATTCATAATGGGATTGGTTCACTACCTGAAGTGAGTGATTTGCCCCTAGTCCTAAAAGACGTGGTTGACCTACAGCGGCGCTTCATTTCAATGTATATGATTGAAATAGGGAGCATCCCATTGCTCTCACATATATTGTCCCCACTTTTATTTGGTCTGATCATCCATGGATGTGGGGACATAGATGTGATAGTTTAGCAGCTCTTCGGATGTAGCCGCGCAAAACTTCCCCTGGAATCGTTTTTGGTGATTTATGATGTGCGAACGCGCAACCTGCAAACAATTTTTTATATCAATTTTGACAAGCTAAACGAGTTTTTCATTATATATATTATAAACTATCAAGAATGGGTGGAGCCTCGCAATTGAGGAACAAATAATAGCAATCTCTCTTTGCATGTAAGAGGGCGACGTATCAACCGAATAGTTGGCGAGCCTTATATCCTGCACCTGCACGTTCACAGTTGTGTATTTTCCAATGATAATGGACGACAATTTTACTTCTCGATCCCGCCAGATCTCAACTGATTTTAGCAACTGAAGAATGATACATGGGTAATTTCAAAATTTTCCTAGAAATTTAGTTGACCATGGACCTGAAATATAAGTTAAGCCGTTTTGTTCCGATTCATTTGTCTCATTCGGAAGGAAATATCAAAAAGCAAGGAAAGGAAACTTGGGGCTACGTAAATGGTCTTCCTTTTTTTGAGATTTACTCTTATTTTCTAACTGCTACTGCAACTACTGCAACCACTACTACCAATCCTTACTCCTTATTCTCTTCACTATATTTAACTACTATATAATTCACACCTAAATTGATATTTGGAGTTCATTTAAATATTTAGTCTAGCCCTCTCAACCAGGGCATTGCTAATAACACTACTCAAGGGATGCTAGTGTTCAGAAGATGCTGAAGACGATGCCATCTAAAGCTTTAATTACCATAATCAATTTTGTTTTCCTCACTATCTTTCTGCTTGTTTATGCCACTGTTCTTCCCCGTCCATCTTCTGACTATTTGGAGAATGCAGGCTCCCTTGTGAGGTGCTCCTTGGGTGAATGTCATCAAAAGAAGGTGAGCCTTCTTCAGTGCCATAATTTCTTTCTTTCTTTCTTTCTTTTGTTTGTATAAGCTGATCAATTCAAACATCAGTTAATTTGCATATGAAGCACGCATTCTTATCGGCAATTATTTGTCCGATCATCATTGTAGACAGAAAAAAGCTTCAAAATGAAAGCAGTATTGGAGGAAACTCAAGCAAACCAACATACGGAAAAGCATAAGAGAGCAAACAAGGTGGTACCAAGCTTTTTTGGCGAGATGGGGAAGGGAATGAGGATAGGACTGGTGAACATGGAAGAAGGTTATGTGAGTGAATGGAGCAAGCATGGGGAAACCACACGAGTTTATTTCGAGAGGGTGTCACAATTTTTGAATTGGACAGACTTGTTTCCTGAATGGATAGACGAGGAAGAAGAGAATGATGTGCCATCATGTCCGGAGATACCTATGCCAGAGTATGCAGAATATGGAAGCATGGACATCATCGTTGCCAAGCTGCCATGCAGGTATCCCAAAAAAGGGTGGAGAAGGGACGTTTTCCGGTTACAAGTTCATCTTATAGTTGCGAATTTAGCCACAAAGAATGCCAAGAATGATTGGAGAGGGAAGACAAAAGTGGTTTTCTGGAGCAGGTGTAGACCAATGATGGAGCTGTTTCCATGCGACAACTTGGTTAAGCGGGAAGGTGAATGGTGGTTCTATGAAGCTGAGGTGAAGAGGTTAGAACACAAGGTTTCATTGCCCGTTGGGTCCTGCAAGTTGGCCTTGCCTCTATGGGAACAAGGTATACATATACAATATATAGCACATATATATATATATATATATATATATATATTGTATATACACACACCAAACATTATTTTGTTAATTTTATTATCTCCTTAGTTTTTTTTTTCCTTCACACCAGCCAAACAAGCACATGCATTTAAAACAACCAAAACGTTCTCAAGTAAAAGAGTTAATGGAGTCTGAACCATATGACCTTTTCTGCTTAAAATTAGAAGACACTAGCTACCGCCTTTGACTGATTTTATTTTTACCATAAATACTGTTCATCATACCAGATTCCTTTTATTGTGCCATTTTTTTATTTAATAAAAGGGATAACAAAATCATGAGTTCATGACAGACAATCTAGTTTATCCTTAAACCGTGTTCACGTAACAGCCCCAGATGAACAACGGTAAGTTTTCATGTTGGACTAGGATGCAGCCGAATTCCAAAAAGAATTCAGAAATGTAAGTTTGATAAAGAATTTTTTTTTTTTTTAAGGTTATCTTATTGGTATTATACATGCATCGATACTTTTTCTATCTACAGAATTTGAGTTTAATAGTAGTAATATTACTCATTGAATGACTACTAGTACTACTCAGGTCTCACTAGAAAATTGATTTTGACTAAGTGTTGAGGAGCAGAAAGGTTGAAAATGAATGATACATGCCTGTTAAAAAAAATTCAAAAGATCACTAATTCACACATGATTTCTAATGTCATTTTCAATAAAACTATTTTTTTATTTGTCTAAAGTAATATGCAAAAAGAATGACATCCAAAAATGTTTCATAAAAAAGAACAAACAAACAATAGATGATAGTGTAGGTGACTAAAACTTTAAAACTCAATGGCAATAGCAGCGTTCAATGAGCTTATTGTTAATTCTTTTTGTTTTGGTCATGAATATCTTTATCTAACTTTTTCCTTGATAGAGAAGCTTAGTTATTTAGTTTAACAACCTATACTAACCACAACCACTGCACTTTTCCTTCGTTGTTATGTGAACGTAACCACTGTATTAGATTTTGATGGCTCCACTCCACCCATTGCTATTATTGTTTGAAGTCACAAGTAATTCAAGATACAAATAACACATGAATTACACCTTAAATTTTTTTTATAATTTTAACCTTTTATGACCTTATAGTTAATTAACATGAAAATTAAGAAAATGTTTACCCTATTTATTAATTATTTTTTTATTAAAATTATTTAGTTTTATTATTAATAAAAAATTAATTAAGTTCCTTAATTTTTTTTAATTTATACAGTAGCAATTTATAAAAATAATAGTCAATTTTTATCGTTAAAACAAAAAGTCACTGGTACATTTTAAAAATAAGGAACTTGATTTTGTTGAAGCTTAAAAGAATTATATAATCATACTTTTAAAATTGAAGAATTTAATAGAGGATTAAATTAAACAAAATAAATAATTTAAGTTAATTAAACTTTAGTTTCTCTGTTACCTTTACTTGTTTTATTCCTTTCCGAATTTGCAGGAACGAAGGAGGGGCACGAGTTGTCGAAGAATGAGCAAAAAATTGAAAGCAGAGTGAGAATGAAGCGCGAAGCTTACGCGACGGTGCTGCATTCCTCAGAAGCATACGTTTGCGGCGCCATAACGCTCGCACAAACCCTCCTCCAAACAGGAACCAAACGCGACCTAATTCTCCTCGCGGACAATTCCATCTCTGTATCCAAACGCGATGCCTTATCGAAAGCGGGTTGGATGGTCCGAATTATGACCCGGATACGAAACCCGAGGGCTGAGAAAGGAAGCTACAACGAATACAACTACAGCAAGTTCCGTCTGTGGCAGCTCACCGACTACGACAAAATAATCTTCATCGATTCCGACATTATCGTACTCCGCAACCTCGACATCCTCTTCCGCTTCCCGCAGATATCCGCCACGGGGAACGACCAATCAATATTCAACTCCGGGATAATGGTGATCGAGCCTTCGAACTGCACGTTCCGTGTGCTGATGCGGCTCCGCGACGACATCGTTTCGTACAACGGAGGGGACCAGGGGTTTCTGAACGAGGTTTTCGTGTGGTGGCACAGGCTGCCGCGGAGGGTGAACCTTCTAAAGAATTTCTGGGCGAAGACGACGGCGGAGGCGAGGGAGAAGAACGCGCTGTTCGGGGCGGAACCGGCGGAGGTGTACGCGATTCACTACCTGGGGTGGAAACCGTGGCACTGCTACAGGGACTACGACTGCAACTGGGACACCTTGGAGCAGAGGGTGTACGCGAGTGACGTGGCCCACAGGAGGTGGTGGAAAGTTCACGACGGCATGGAGGAGAGGTTGCAGAGATTCTGTGGGTTAACGAAACGGCGTCGGAGTGAGTTGAAGTGGGAGAGGAGAAAGGCCAGGAAGATGCGTTTAGCCGATGGACATTGGAAAATCAATATCAGCGATCCTAGGCGATTTCTCGCTCTCTCCATCGATTAGATTATTTATAAACTTTTCTTACATTTATTTGTTCAATCATTTTAGTTTGAAAAAAAATCAAATAACTTGTGTGTTTTGTTGTACTAAGTATTTTGACAAGACAATAAAATTACACCCATAAAAACAAATTATGAAAAATAACTACTACCTTAACTGAATAATGATAAGCTTCCCTTGAATCAATAATTAAAATTTGAATAATATGCAAAATAGATATTTCATCTGATTAAGAAAAACATAATTTCAATCAAAGCACGTCAATTTTTGACCTAATTTGTTTAATTTACGATCTATAAAAACTTAATTAGGATAATTACACAAATTTCCGATTGCTTATTTAAAACATAATTAAAAAATAAAATAGTATTATTTTACTAAAATATATTCATATATTAAAATTTTTATATAAATTTATTACATTTAAAATATGTAATTTATTGAATTACTTAAAATTTTTAAAATAATTTTTCTTGTTTCTTTAATTTATAATTTTTGAAAAACATTTATTTTTAAATCAGGACAAACAAGTTTGACATTGAATTGGACCAACCAAAAATATTTAGACAGTTGGACCAATAGGATCCGATTTTCTAACACTAATACAAATCATAATTGCAACGTTATAGAAAAATTACACTCATAATAAAATATTGTGAAAAATAGGAAAGTTTACTTTCTGTCGAGCTAGTTGGATCTGGAAGGATTTTTTTCGTATTTAAATCTAACCAATTGGACTCAATATATTAAAAAAAAAAACAGATTTGAATTATTACACTTTAAATTAACTCAGTTCAACTTATTTTAAAATAATTATGTATCCATGATATAACTTTGAATTTAATATATATTATTTTGTTTGATATGCTACTCTTAAAATATACCTTATGTGTTGTTTAATTATATATAATATTAATATTATTATATTAAGTCAAAGGTAACTTAATCCTACTCTAAACATTATCATATTATGCTCCCATTAAATTTAGATTCATTGATATAATTTTTGTATATTAGATTAAGATATAAAACCATTCTAAGTAAGTTAATTTATCAAACCATTAGAATTATATAGATTTAAAGACGGTAAAACGGATTATTTTTTTATAAATTAAAGATATTTTTTCTCTTGTTTTATTTTTAATTTATAAAAAAAATAGGGTAATCTGTCATAGGATGAATTAACCGATTAATTTTCCAATATTTTATTTTTATATATAATTTTTTATATATCTATTTTTAAAATATACATTTAATTATATAATTTTTTTTAAAATTTATTTATTAATTAATATTTTATTAGATAAATAAAAAATACTATATATATATATATTAAAATAATAATTAATAATTTAAATTTAATTAATTAATATTTATAATTTAAAATATAATATTTAGATATTTTAATAATATAAAGTAACAACTATAATATTTTAAATTAAAATAATTTTTATTTTAATATTATAACAACCCGTAAATTCTACTTAAAATTTTTAATAAATGAAGGAAGAAAATAACTTTTTCACCTAAGAGAGGTATAATAGTTCAGTTTACATATCCAAAATAGTTGAAAAGAAAAAAGAAAAGAAAATATTACACATCAAAAGTCCTAATTACACAAATATTTTACACTAATTACACAACACAAAATAACTCAGGAGGTTTCTACTTTATTTCTCAAATCACTGGGTCTTACTACCACCTGTAGAAGATTTGAAATTTGCTCACGTATATAACACGATCATAGCAGGATCCCAAAAGATCAAGCACGCAACAAAAGCAAGGGTAAACTACCATTTGATTAAATATGTAGAACAGTGTAACATTGCAAACAACATTTATTAATTCACAAACATCCTAAAACTAGACTCACCGGAGAGTCTAGCATTTTACAATCACAACACACAACAAGAGTGACGCTTTCCGGAAAACTATATGGAATTCAGACCAGTAAGATAGACACCTGATGAGGAATATTTGGGGTCCCAAACCCTTAAAATTTCATGGCCCCAGGCCTATAATATCATTTTTTTTCAACCTCTCATCAGAGCAACACATGCATAGGATTGACACTATGTTGTGTCTCCATCGACTTTCCACCACAGATGTCTTCGTCTATATGGCTAGGAACATCTTGAAAGTCTGAATACCCTATTACGCCTATCCATAATTCCATATACATTATTCTACATAGTACATCAAATCTATCATTCAACAACTATTTCATTCACACTATTCTACTCAGGGTTTCTAGAATCAAACCAACATCATGCAGTTCAAAATGTCTAGTCCAACATTTAAATTCTCAACTACTATGCAATCATAATTCACTTAAAACGGTACATCATTTCTCATTCAAACCACACAAACCAACCATACAATTTAGAAATTCAATGATACAAAGATATCTATTTCAAAACAATTTACACTGCAAGGTTTCCACAATGCTCACAATATCATATCACATATAGTACATATATATATCACAAACATACTCTCGTATACATATATCATGTATATATATCACAAGCATACTTTCATATCACAAATAGCACGTATATATGTCACAAGCATATTCTCATATCACATATTGCACGTATACATACTCTCATATCACATATAACACGTATATATATCACAAACATACTCTCATATCACATATAGCACGTATATATATCACAATCATACTCTCATATCACATATAGCACGTATATATATATATATATATATATATATATATATATATATATATATATATATATCACAAACATACTCATCATTCACTTTATTAAACTTTTCATCAATACAATACAACCAATAAAAATTAAAGAAGCCTCCCTTACTCGAGGGTGATGTTACATGTCAACCTAATTCCAATAAAACCTTAGGAATGCCAAAACACCTAATTTGTACCGTTCTCCCCCAATTTGGAAAACCCTAAAACGAAATTGAAGTAATAAACAAAATTAAACCCGAAAACATGAAATTGGGGAGTGATAGAGTAAGAGGAAACATTTAATTCCACAATTAATTCTTTAAATTCTTAAAACCCCAAATTTTAACTAGCAAAAACCCTAAAATTCAAACTTACTAGAACGAAATTCTAATCAGTGGGTCTTCTGCTATTCTCCGTCGTAAGCACAATGGCGGTCTCAGATTCTTGATCGGGGAAGAAGAAAGTCTTGATCTGTAGGAGAGAAGGTAGAGCTGAGTTATGAAGATGAGGGATATGCTTGTACGAAGAAGAAGAAAATCAAATTTTCTCTCTCTTCTTCTTTTTATTTTTCTTTTAATTACAATATATTACAAATATATAAATATATTTTAAAATAAACCATCATACATCCTACTTAAAAAAAGTTAGAAAGTAAGACAAGTTGATTTTAAATCCAAAATAGTTAAAACTATAAAAGAATATTTGAATTTTTGTAACTATGAAAACTAAACACAACTTCTGCCTCTTTATGATCAAGAGATTTTTATATGCAAAAATTTCATATTTGTAAAAATGAAAACTCTAATTTAAAACATGATATTTATAAATTAAAGTATGTATATTAAAATGATAAATTATAAATTCCAAAAGTGAGAATAAATTATAAAATATTCCCCTCAACCAATCTTTTTATGCCTTTCTTATTTTGTATTTTGTTGAAAAGTCATCTCATACTTCTTTAACCCCACCCAACAATGATTCTCTAACAAAAGCCAAAGTTTCCGCAGATATTAAACCCAACTTTGATGTCAAAGCAACCTTCCACGTGGCAGGATTAGGTTGGTAGGCCATAAAACCAAAAGAATGAAATTAACTGTGGTCCCCCAACTTTAATTTACACAGAGAAAATCAATTACTATAAATATTCATTAATTGTTCTTTTCTTCATTTCACACCTTATTTCTCTTTTTCTTTGTTTGTTGACGACCCCATGTGTCCAAACTTCAAAAACACACTACACTCACCATTGCAGACAGAATTATTGAGGGACTAATTTATTTTATCATTAATTATACACCATAATAGCATATATTTAAAACATATATTTAAATTAATCCGTAACAAATCCAGAATGTGCATGTGTATGTGCTAATAAAATAAACCCTCACGTAATGTTGTCTTGCAATTACTGAACGTGGACCCCACCCTACAACATCCAACGGACCAAAACTTGTTGGACTTTTGTGCGGGGATCGCGTGACATGCCAAGCAATGTAAATCATGAAATTAGAGTAATTAATTAATGGATATTAATAATAATGAACGGTGCATTAGTGTCGGTGTCATGAATCTCATGTGATGTGGCTGTAATGGAACGGACCTCTCTATCTACAGACTTTGCCATGGTGGAATCTTCATCATTTACTATTCACACTCACTTTATCATAAATTTCTCACCTTTTTCAAATCTTTCAATTCTCACTTCTTTCATTTGTATCCAATTCTCATTAATTGTTTGGTTTTAACTGATGGGAGCACCAAAATAAAAAGCAAGAGCTGAGAAAAATAGTAATAATAATAATAAAAAAGAAAGGAGAAATAGAAGGTGGACCACGACCAAGAAAAAGGTGTGCGAGGTTGGTAACGTAGTAGTGGAAAACTTTTGTCTCTTAACTCATCCCATATCTAAAGTATTTAATAATTGAGTACTACTTTTGAGTTAACTTAACACAATACCAATTACGAAAGATTAAGTACTGTAATTAATTGGTACTACGCAATCAAACTTGTCCTGCGTATGTACAATCAAACTAATAAAATTAATTATCCGTTGCGGAAAGGACTAAGTATAGGGAAGAGAATAACAATGGTGGTAATATGCATATGAAAGAAATGAAATGTAATAATTTATTTGATTTTATTACTGAAAATTGGAGGAGATATTTGAATTGAGAAAGAAGGAAGAAGATGGTACAGATGGATCTAATCTGTGGGATGAGGTAGGCTCCACTAACTCTGTATCTTTCTGCCTATTTTTCTATCTTCTAATTTTAGCTGCAAATATTTTCCACCTCCATTTATTTTTCCCGACCTAATTTTAATTTCCTCCTCAAATTTCCCAGAGACAATTAGAAACTATCTTTCCTCCCCACTTTCAATCTCCCCTTATCATTCCAATCCTAATCGGGTATGTTCTTCTTCTTCTTCCTCTTTCGTAATTTTGTTTCTTTGTTACGATTTGTCTCTCTGTTCTGTTCTATTTATTTGTGATCACATCATAGCATGCAAGTATTTGTGAGTATCTACAGCTGGATGTAACATGTTTTCCAAACGCTTCCACAGAAAATTATAGAGAAGGAACAGAGCGTGTGAATGTCCTTTGGCTTTAACAATCACCAAGAATTGACTTTTCTATATTTTTGCTTGGTTTTCGTTTTTCTCTTGTGAGAATTTTCTTCAGCATGTACTTTCTCTGCAACCGACCGCGTAGTATCTTTAACTATTGAAGTTTTTGCTTTCAAAAGGTTGGCCACAAGAGATGGTGCATTGCTCTGCTTTATTTTTATTTCTATTTATTGGTGAAAATAGGGGGGAAATGTTAATCTGGCTTCCAAATCACAGATAGGAACTAATTTTTTTTTTTCCTGTTGTAACCATTGTGTAGATTACTTCTTCTTTTTTTCCGTATATGTTCTGTCTTCTTTTGTGTTTGTCATTGTAAATTACGTAGCGATTGGATTCGTAGGACGTGTATCAAGAGAGAAGACATTGAGCTTCCGTCTATTATAAGCTATTTTTTCGTCGATCAATCACCAAGAATTGTAGGTACTCGATAACTCTAGAATTGCAGTTAATCATGGTTAAACCTTAATTAGAATGAGATCTTTACATCTGTAAAAAGTACGGATTACTTTTAAAATGCCCTGTTTCATCCCGTGTTATTTGTGTGAATTTAGTTGTGATTTGTGAAATTACAATTATCCATAAAGAAGTCTGAATCTGTCTTCCGAGTCTGAACACTGAAAAACTCAGGAAATAGTTTTTTTTTATAATTATTATTTATTATCCAGGAATTGGCTAACACCTTGAGATTTTCATTTTAACTACCCAATAGAGACGATAATTGGGAAAAGGAAAGTAATTAAATGGTATACACAGAACCCAATTCGTGACCTGTTCTTGTGAGTAGAAATTCCGCTCAAAATTGAAATTTATGCCTGACAATTTTTAATTTCTAATCCAATTGTATTTTTTGAAAGGCTTATTTAGGCTGTAATTGTCTTGTTTTAAATTTTATTTTCCACTGATTGATTTTTCTTATTACTGTTTAGAGGTTAAACACTTTTAGCACTCCTGATTGCTTCTTACAATGGAGGAAGTCGAAGACAAGATACCCCCTGTCTCCGCTTCAAAAATAGCTGAAGAGACTCCACTTGCAGAACATGTTGGAGACAAGCTACTATCTGAGTCTTCTCCAAAAATTGCTGAAGAGACATCGCTCCTAGCAGAACTTGATAGAGACAAGCGACCATCTGAATCTTCTCCTAAAGATGCTGAAGAGATACCCCAGGCAGAACATGTTGGAGACAAGCTACCATTGGAACATTCTCCAAAAATTGCTGAAGAGACACCACTGGTAGAACATGTTGTAGACAACCAACCATCTGCATCCTCTTCCAAAATTGAAGAGACACCAGTGGCTGAGCATGTGATAGACAACTCTGAACCCTCTTCTAAAATTGCTGAAGAGTCACCACTGGCAGAACATGTTGTCAACAAGCTACCCTCTGAATCCACTACAAAAGTTGCTGAAGAGATGCCACTGGTAGAACACCCTGAAGTGATAAACCTACCTAACAATCAATCTTCTGCTGAAGCTCCAACAGTCCTACTTAGAAATGCAAAAACGGAATCTGGCACTCATTTGCCAGTGGATGAGTTTTCTGAACTTGTAGTTTTGCCAAATGCTCATGATTATCAAACTTTAATGCAAGATGAGTGTGTTTCTACAGTTAATTCAGTTTCAGACCCAGATGCTGCATTTGATGTAACAGAAAAAAGGCAGCAGGTAACTTCAGTTGTAGATTCGGAACCAGGTGTTGTAGAAAATTTCTCTGACAGGCATGAATTGGAGGATGATGTTTCTAATTTCACTGCTAACAGTCCTGTTGATAATGAGAATAGACTTTCAGCTTCTTCTTCTGAAGCAAAAGATTTACAAAATGATGAGAATGAACTTTTGATGGCCACTGGATCGGTTATCTCACTCCCCCGTGGCAAGATGTTTGATGCAAAAAGAGGTCTAATCGATACCAGAGCTCCTATTGAGTCTGTCAAACAAGCTGTTTCCAAGTTTGGAGGAATTGTGGATTGGAAGGCCCATAGAATCCAGACCGTGGAGGTATATCTTGCATTTATCAGCATTGTTTTTTATGCAATTATTTTCATTTATCTTCTTCACACTTCTTAGGTCAAATTTCAAATTCAATTGATTGTTCCGGTTGCTCCTTAAAAGCTAAACCTATCCATTAATGATAGGCAAGAAAGAGGTGCTGTAATGGGTAAAAGGATGTAATCTCTTTGATTAACAGTGGCAGTTGTGGCAGTTAGATTAACCAGGGCTGTCATGTTAACGTTGATTATGGAAATGTAAAATTGTCTGCCAACACGAGTTACATTATAGGGCTAATCATTGCTGATGAGGCATCACACATGTAGCAGAAACGTGGAACTTTTATTTGCCACCTATTCCCTCAATGCTATTTATGTGGCATTTTCCCAAATTTGCCTTTATATATGCTGTACATATAAAAATTACTGTCTTGGCAGTTTGTTGTCGACCCTACTGATGCAACTGTCTCTTTTTTTAGAACTCTTTGTTCAGCATCGTCTCTTGGGAAGAAAGTACTATATCTCTAATTTATGCCACTAGAATTAGCTGTGTCTATATATGTGTCACCCAATATTTAGGCAGAGTTATGTCTGCTACTATCAATTTTGAGTGTTAAACAGGCTAAAATTATTGATGTTGCACTCTCTGATAATATTTGTGACCGGAGAATGCTATCGAGTGACATTAAAGTGCTAATGAAAAAACAAAAGTTGGAAGTATTTATTGAAAAGGAAAATATTTATTATACTGAAAACACAATAATAAAGAAAATGAATTCATTATATTTGTGATTTCCTTGCCTATATGTGGATTCATTTTGGACTGAGATCTAGTAGAAAATGAATTATATGTACTTTTATGCCTATATATGTTTTCTAATGTCCAATATTGTTTGTTTTCTAAAGAAAAATAGAGACACTGATGATCATTCTTCCTACCATGCAGAAGAGCAATTATATGTACTAATGAGCATACGTGTTTGTCTATTGGAACTGCAGTTAACTTTAGTTTTTCCCTGGATGTACAGAGACGAGATATGGTAGAACAAGAGCTTGAGAAGGCACAAGACGAGATCCCAGTGTATAAAAAACAAGCAGAGGATGCAGAAAAGGAAAAACGCCAAATACTTAAGGAATTAGACAGCACAAAGAGATTAATAGAAGAATTAAAACTTAACCTTGAGAGAGCACGAACAGAAGAGCATCAAGCAAGACAGGACTCAGAACTTGCAATGCTCAGAGTGGAAGAGATGGAGCAGGGTATTGCAGATGAATCAAGTGTTGCAGCCAAGACACAACTTGAGGTTGCCAAAGCGAGGTATACTACTGCTGTTTCAGATTTAAAAGCCGTGAAAGAGGAGCTGGAAACATTGCGCAAAGATTTTGCTTCCTTAGTGAAAGATAGAGATTTAGCTATTAAGAAAGCTGAAGAGGCAGTTACTGCATCAAAGGAAGTAGAGAAGTCCGTAGAAGATTTAACTATTGAACTAATTGCGGCAAAAGAATCATTGGAGACTGCACACGGTGCACACTTGGAAGCAGAGGAGCAAAGAATAGGAACAGTCATGGCAAGAGATCAGGATTCCCTCAATTGGGAGAAGGAACTTAAACAGGCAGAAGAAGAGCTCCAGAGACTCAACCAGCAAATTTTGTCTGCTAAGGGACTCAAATCTAAACTGGAAACAGCCTCTGTTTTGCTGATTGATTTGAAAGCTGAGTTATCTTCTTATATGGAATCAAAGTTAAGGCTAGAAGGTGATGAAGAAGGAAACTCAAAAGGAGGCCCAAAAGAGCCAGAGAAAAAGACACATACTGACATACAAGCAGCAGTTACATCAGCCAAAAAGGAACTTGAGGAAATAAATCTTAACATAGAGAAAGCAACCGCAGAGGTTAGTTGCTTGAAGGTAGCTGCTACATCATTAAAATCGGAACTTGAACAAGAAAAAGCAACTCTTGCCACCATCAGGCAAAGAGAGGGAATGGCCTCCATTGCAGTTGCAGCTTTGGAAGCTGAATTGGAAAAGACCAGATCAGAAATAGCTTTGATTCAGATGAAGGAGAAAGAAGCTAAAGAGAAAATGGCCGAGCTTCCTAAGAAGCTACAACTTGCTGCTGAAGAGGCTAATCAAACCAACTTGCTTGCTCTGGCAGCTCGTGAAGAGCTACAAAAAGTAAAGGTAGAAGCAGAGCAAGCCAAGGCTGGAGTAAGTACCTTGGAAAGTAGATTACTTGCATCTCAGAAGGAGATAGAGGCAGCAAAGGCTTCTGAAAGGTTGGCAATAGCAGCAATTAAAGCATTGCAGGAGAGTGAATCGGCTAGAAGCAAAAATAAAGTGGACCCATCCAATGGGGTAACACTTTCTTTGGAAGAGTACTATGAGCTTAGCAAACGAGCACATGAGGCAGAAGAGCGAGCCAATGGGAGGGTTGCAGCTGTAAATTCTGAAATTGATAAAGTTAAGGAGTCTGAAATGAAAGCCTTTGAAAGGTTGGACGAGGTGAATAGAGAGATAGCTGCTAGAAGAGAATCTTTGAAATTGGCAATGGAGAAGGCTGAGAAGGCGAAGGAAGGTAAATTAGGTGTAGAGCAAGAATTAAGAAAGTGGAGAGCTGAAAATGAACAACGAAGAAAGGTGGGTGACTCTGGCCAAGGAGGGGTAAACCAGAGTAAAAGCCCTAGGGGTAGTTTTGAGGGGAGTCAGGAAGCAAATAATTTTGAGAGCACTGGTGTTGCAGCTAATCCTTTGTCAAGTCCAAAGGCTAATGTACATCAAGTCATCGATGAAAATGAATCATCCCCAGAATCAAAACATGGGAAAAAGAAGAGAAGGTCAATTTTCCCAAGAGTTTTGATGTTCTTTGCTAGAAGAAAAACACATTCAACTAAGTGAGGGTAATCCCATATACTGCAGATATCTTGGCTCTCATCCGTTTTGGATATCTCACAACTTCAAATGCTGGAATCTTCAATTGCATCGACCTGTAAATGTTGGCAATTGCTATGGCCTATGTATTTGATTATATTCTCTCTCACTGAAGGGTTGGTATATGGTCGCCTGCTCAGTATTGTACGTGGACATAAAAATTAATTAATCTTTAGTGGGAAAGAGAAAGTAAGATGATTCTGTATTGTTTATAGGCTTCTGATGTATTGAACCTCGGCTTTTGTAAAGATTCGTTTGAGATTTTACCAAATGAAAGAAAAAAGTTTCCCAGTCTGAGACTTGATGCACTTTTAATGACATGACGTGAGCTTATTGGAAACGCCTCATTAATCGGAACAGCGAAGATACCTGGAACATTTTAGAACTTCTGATGCATGGAATATACCGGATCAATTCTTAAGTCTCCAATGTTTTGAAACAATTTAACTAGATCACTCGCCAAATTTGGAGTCATTAACGATTCAGCTCTGATTCTTTGTATTAGTTAGTTATACATCTCATGGCATGCTTTTATTGTGATTCCTATTCCAGATTTAATTTAGTGACTTTTCAGTGATAGATTTATCATTTGTTTTGTTCGCATCTCCTTTTTCTTGTTCATCAGTAGCTGTTAACATAGATTTTGGTTGATGGAAAATAGGGGACAGGGAAGGAGAAATAAAAAGAGATTTTTTACAATTTAGTTTAGTTTGGGTTAATTTTTAATGGAGAAAGAGAAATTAAATTCAATCTAATCCCATCTTAGAGGAAAGAAAAGGAAGTTTAAAACATTCATTATTTAGATCGGAAAGTAGATTTTAAGGAATGAAAAAGAAAAAAAAAATTGAAATAAAAGATAGTAATAATTGGAACATATAGAAGGTATATATAGAAAGTAAATTACATATATTTTTAATAAATTTATTTGTTATTTTAATATTTTTATTTAATTATTTATTATTATTATTACTATTTCTATTAAACATAATTGATTAAAAAGATAGTAACAATTGAATAAAGAGAAAAAATGAAAGTATATAGAAAATAAAAGACTTATTTTTTTAATAACTTTATTTATCATTTTAATATTTTTATTTAATGATATACTATTATTATTATTAATAAAAATAGAAAAAAGTTTTTAAAAAATTTTGAAACAATTTATGTTTTTAACATAACTGATTATGTACTATAACTAAATTATGTCTCTATATTTAATCTTCTCATATTTAAGCGGAAAACGAAAGATTTATATTTTATTAAAAAATTAACATCTTTTTTTCTATGTTTCACAATATTCAATGATTGTAATATTTTTTTAATTTATTTTTTGTTTGTTTTGAATTGTTTTTTATATTTAGATAATCAAGTGATGTATTGATTATTAATTTTTTGGAATTAATTTATATTATTAACTTACTTTTTTTAAAACAAAATGAATCATGTTAAAATAATTATTTAATCGGACATTAATCATACAATATATATGTAATAATTAAATTTCATTTTTCTTATTCAATTGAATCTTATAAATTAGATAATTTAAAAACAAAAAAAGAGTAATTTTTAATTTTTGTTTTATATGAAATAAATGTACGATATTTATGATAAAAACAAATCTTAAAAATACAAATTTTTCACAAATCCTATTTCTGTCACTTTTCTTTGTAAATACGCGTCTAAAAACAGATCGACCGTTAAAATATAATTACTAAAATATTATATTTTGTAATTTAATTTAAAATTATAAGACTACAGAACTAAAATAACCTTTAAAGTGTCTTCTCTTTGGGAATTAAAAATAATAATAATCCTCATCTTTTCCTCTAATCTTCCATTTCATCTCAACTAAAATAAAAGTCTAATCGAAATTCTTCTCCTTTTGGCATACTGTGCTGCTAAAATGATCAAGTCATGAAGCGGACAGGGCAATGGTTAAACAATCACTCGTGTGACCACAAGCTTTAAAGAACTCTCCTATAAGTATTTCTTTCCATTCTTATTAACCACGCATCAAAATAATTTAATTCATACTCCATCTAAGTTAACTAAGTTTCTTAACGTAAATTAATTTACATGTTAAAGTGTAAAACTTCAATGGCTATTAGTAATTTTTTTTGTTTTGTTTGATGGTTGTTATAATTTGATTTGAAAAGTTACATTGAAAGATGGAAAACACTTAGTGATCGATTTTGAGTAATTTTCCTCCAAAATCTTAAACAAGCAATTAAGTCAATTAAAAATGTATTTGAATACAATTGCTCCAAGACCATTACATCTAAACTAGATCCATGACATCAGTATGGTTGAGGTGGAAACGTATAAGTAATTCCGTTTTATGGATAAGTCCAAGCCATACAATCCATACAATACTTTCTAGAACTAAGAACCAGAACTGGCAAAGGTCTGAATAATAGTTTTATGCCATGGATTGGAAACGTGCTCCACAAGGTTATCAATTGGTCCAACATGAGTCACCGAAGCTTGTACAAAGATGCCAAGCATTGCTATCATTGCAAGTCGCCCTGTAAGTAGATGATTTTATGGAAACGAGTTTTTGGAGTATTTATACATTTATTGATAAACATGAAAGAACTGAGAAAGAAATGTACCATTTTTAATCTCTTTAAGCTTCCAGTCATGAGCGTTTTTAATGTCTTTAGCTAGGCCAAGAGGATTAAGCAGAGGTCCCCCTGGGTACCTGTTTGAAACAAGAAAATACACCTCAATGTCTGCTAATTCAAGAACAGTAAAATCATATTGCCGTATGACAGTTCACTAATTCATGTTCAGTATTATAGTTAAAGAACATGAAGAATCAAAGTTAAAAAATAAGAGAAAATATATATATTTTTATTGGAAAATGCAAATACCCTGGCTCTAAGCCTTCGAATGAAGCTTCCAACCCAAAGAAGGACCCCTCTTTCGCTTGAGATCCAGGACTAACAAAATCCATGTACCTTTTTGTTTCGGCAAACCTGTTCAAGTAAAAGTGAAGTCATGTGCACTGGCCTCATAATTCCCTAAAGGATAATGAAATTATGATAGCCCCAATTCATGACTAAAATTCTACCCCATCAGAAGTAGTTGAACAATGAAAAGTGTCTCTGTATTGGCAAGGTCGTATTTTACTGCACCAGCTTCAAACCAAACTGGTATCTTACTAATTCCTGTGACGCGAAGCAGCTGCACAGATTACCAAGGACTCGGAACAGTTAGTAATGTTTCTCTGAATACACCTCCAACGAATAAATCTTGATAGATTTTATTAATTTATCATAAAGACGTTTTCTACATTCACATGAGCAAGTTGGATCACTCACATCTGTCACTAGAATTCCCAAGACCCCAAGCATTGCAAAGCGAGAATGAACCAGCTCTGCCTGCACATACCACCTTAAGTTTCCAGGATCCTCTGCAAGCCCAAGTGGGTCGAATCCAAAATCTCCAGCGAGACTGAAAAGCATATCATTATATGAAAACTTGAATAGAGAAAGTAGCAGTAGCAGAAGAAGAGGAAATAGGAGTCATATCCTCACGTTCCATCAAGATAAGGCGGAGGATCAAGTCCTGGGAGCCATGTAGGTCGCTGTTGCGCTGCTACACAAGTTTGTCTATAATGTGGAGTGACAGCAGAACCATGCCCAAGCCAAGAGAATCTTCCTGCTGATGAAGCTCGATCTATGCTTTTACTGTTGAATAAAGGACGGGGCTGAATGGGGAGGCTTTTTCCTATTGCTACTGCCACCATTGTTTTCTGATTATCTGCTTGTGTGCCTGTCCTCAAATTTGTGACTTTCACAACAACAATATGCACCCCATATTATTGATTTAAAGCTAAAAAAAATAAAAAATACAGGGGCCCACTTATCCACTGAAATAGGAGAGTTGGATAACAAACGTCTGCTTCTAAGGCTTCAGGATAAAAAAAAATTCCCTCCAACCAACACAGATCCGTTTCAATGATACTCTAGAAATCAGAAATTACTTCCGCATCTATCCAGGTCTCTTTTTCATTTTTTTACCTTTTTAAGTTTTAATTGATATAAGTGATTTACAGCCGAAACACGCAAATCAAAATATGAAGCTGAGCATGCTCGCTCTATTGCCACTGGAAAGTTGAAGCGCTTAACTAAAAGGAACTGGTAAACGAGAAAAAGGGAAAAAAATAAATCAGATGAAAATGATACAATTCTGGGACCAACTAATATTATCTTGAGAGTTAACAGAACTGGTACAATTGGACAACCATAACTGATTTTCCTGTATTAATATCCGAAATGATATTAATATCAGCTAGACCTTTAAATGATATCAATATCCCAAATGACACTAATTTCAGCTAGACATGAAAACATCATACATACAACTGAAAAGGTCTTTCAATGAAATACATGAAACGGTATTAATAAAGCTGAGCAACAATTGTTGGCTGTGTATCATTGCTTGCCGGATATGCTGAATGAGCTAACTTTCATTGGGGTAGCTATAACCAGTGGAGCCTCCGGAGAATTACTGACTGCAAACCTGTCATGCATAAAACGGCTCTCAACAATGGAATCATCCCTAAGGACTATCTTGTAGCAGTAGCAGCTCTTAAGACCCTGCTGGTTACGGTAGCACTCATGAGCACCATCCTTCACTTGCTGGAAGTTCCATATCACACTGAACTTCCCAACAGTGGCTACTATATGCCGCTCCTGTTTCCCATTCTCTGTCACCTAAGCAACCAAGAAGTTGAAATAATAAAAATATATTTCCGCAAGATTAAAATATGAAAGACACAATAAAAAACAAGATGTCACTTCTCAGAAGATGTGAGAACAGAACAATCATAATCTAACCTCAGGGAGAAGAATAATTCTTGCCTGAGAAAAGTGCATAATCAAAACACAAAAGCTCAAATATTATTAAGATAATAATTAAGTATATGCTCAAGTTAGTGCAATTATCTTGAACTTTTTATTGGTTGTGCTTATTGGCACCATGATCATGAATGAATTTCCCAGGGAAAATTCCCATGTTTTAAGCAAAACAGCAAACATGACAATCCTTTGAAAACCAACAAACAATTAACATGCTCCAGGTTATGATTTTGCTAATGTCAAACACGGGATATGTCCTTACTGCAAATTGCAATGCAGTTAGACAGTTAGTCAACAATATATTTATTGTCAAAATACTATGCGGGGCGCACACTTAATAAATTGAGTCAAAAGACATTTCGCAATTAAGGATGCAATTGAGAAGAATAATAAAACAGTAATGATAATAATATCCTTTGATTAGATACCATGACAATTGACAGGCAACAGGGGATATAATATCAAGACTTTAATTTGCCACACAACACTATCAACAGATATAACCAAAGCATTCAATTCACACTCACCCACGAAAACTGTGCATTCCGGAACTTATTGTTTCCTCCAGCCAAATGGGAATCAAGAGGGGTGAGCTTCAACAACCTAGGAGCAGCGATCCTGTTTCCCATCCGTCCGGCAAAACCAGTCTTCGTCCTTCCATCTTTGTCAGTAAAGAGGGTACAAATAAGAATCAAGTAGGTGTCAGTAGTACCAACAATCCACTTGCCATCAAAGGTAACATCCACATGAGTAACAGGAGATCCAAGGCCAGGAAACGCAGTCTTCGCCTGCCTCATCGTGTTCACTGAATACAGTCTTATCTTCCCATCCAAAGACCCAACAACAATGGACCCATCACCAGTAGTAGCAAAGCATTGAAAATTAGTCCCCCTCGAAAACTGATGTCCTTGCGCCCAATTCAACACAGGGGCATTCGAATCGGCCAAATTCTGAACCATCCCATTGCGATCTCTCATATCCCACCTACAAAGCCTGTTATCATCCAACCCTAGAAAAGTTGACCCAGAAGGATCCAACTGTGCCCCTTTACAATCATTGGTAATATCCCTCATTGTAATCTCTGTCCCATCCTTCCCAAACATCCATTCACTAACTACCTTCCCAGTCTCAATATCAAGCTGATGAAGCCCCGTCGAGTGAAGCTTTCCTCCACCCATTGGACTCATCAGAAGCATGTTCGTTTCAGCCTTCATAAGAAGCGTCTTCTTAGGGGTACAATAGGAAGAAGATCCCCCATCCCCATTTTTATACCCATCACTGAAATTAACGAAAGCACCCTTCCCGTGAATCCCATGTGCGAAGTTCTTCACAACCTGAATACCGTTATCACTCACCAAAAAACTATTATCTAAAGCACCCAATGCAATGCTCTGAATACCACCGTTTGAAGCTTCTTCGAACTCTTCTTTCAAATCCTGAGTTGCCCTAACCGGAGTGGGGGTTTTGGAGAAAGTTTCCTCTGCGTCTTCCCACATGGAATCGTCCGCGGATTCGGGTTTCGCCCACACCATGAAATCCTTGCCGTAGATCTTGAGCTTGTTCGCTTCCGTCGCCTCCACTCCATGCGTGTTCTCGAAGAGACACTTCTGGAAGGAATCAATAAAGTCGATTTGCTCTTGCACGGTGAAGAACTTCATCGCCCAGACGCCACGCGCCACGAAGTCCACGCGCCGCTGGTCGGGGAAACTCTTCAGGCCCATCTCAGGGCCCACCTTGGCCCGGATTTTGGAACCGACTTTCATAACCCAGAATGATTGTTCGTTGTTTTCGTCGTCGTCGGTATCGTTGTTTTCGTCGTCGGAGTCGGCGTCGGAGTGGGCTTTGACGAAAGAATACGTGGTGAGTTTGTCGGAGACTACCCACTTAGCTTTGGGGGTGTTGCCGCCGACGTGGAGGTAGAGTTTGACGGCGTTTTTGACGGCAGGGGTGGTGGAGGATGAATATTTGAGTTTGAGCGCTTTGAGCTTGGCCTCCACGTCATCGAGGGATGACGGAGTTGACGGCGTTTTTGGTGGCCGTTCGGAGCTTCCTTCGGCGGCATCTTGGTAGGTTTCTTCCTGCTCTTGCTCTGAATCGGACGATTCTAACGGATCTTCACGGCTGTTAGAGGCTCCCATTGAATTGATTTATGAGATGAGATTGGAATTCGGAATTGGAAAAAGAAGAAGATGATGATAATGATGAGAGCGATCACGTTCGAAATTTGAAAAAGGACCGTTTTGGGGTTTAGGGTTTTTAAATCGCAACGGAAGGGAACGCGTGTGTAGTGGGACCACTTGATTGAGAAGAAGGATGGAACGGTTGCACACGTCCTTTCGTTTCGTATTACTGAAGCAGCAGGTGGAATGGGCTATGATGCAAAGAGGGATGATATTTTCATCTTAAAAAAGATACAAATATTTTTAATAACTTATTTTTAGATTTTTATATTATTATTTATTTATTTTATTCTTTCTCTATTAATTAACTAAAAAATAATATTTTTTTAAAAAATTATTTAAATAAATTTCACTGAACTAGTTTTATTGTTACATTTAAATAATCTCATAAATAATACATTTAAAAAATATTTAAATCAAATCTTACTAAATTTATTTATTCAATTACATACAGAAAATTTAATAAAAAAAATCCTTCTAACATAATATAGTTATTTTCCACTTATTTCTCATTTTTTTCTTTCTTCAATTAAAAATATTAAATTAAAATTTTACATAAATATTTTATTATTACTAAAAAATAAAAATATTTAAAAATATTATAATTTAATATATTATATTTTTAAAAATATTATAATAAATTTGAGATGTTAAAATAATATTATTATATTATAATTATTAAGTTTAAGTATTTTTTTCTAAAATATTTTTTTTAAATTATCTAATCAAACTAATTATCATAAATCAACATAATTATAACCAAATTAAATTATTAAATAAAAAATTAATTAATTTATAAATATTTTATATTTTTTAGATGAGTAATTGTTTATTATGATAAAATAATTTTAAATTAATTATTTATATGGTCATAAATAAAATTATTTATTATCAAAATAAATAAAATGATTTATTGTCATCACTATTTTAAATAATTAATTAATATTTTTTTATTTTCAACATTATTTTAAAAATATTTATTTTAACATATTTTTATTCATCTTTAATATAATAGTTTAATTAGAAAAATAAATAAATAAGAAATAAAGAGTGAATAAAAAAATACATAATAAAAAAACATTACGATAAAATAAAAAAATACATTTAAACAATAAATAAATACATATAAATTTTATTAAATATTTTAAAAAAAAATATTCTTAACGTTTCCGATCGAACAATTACATAGCGTGAAAAATCAATACAAATCCAATGTATGGAAGGAGAGATCGCAACACCACTTTTTATTTAATTCATTATCTTCTATTTAATCTATATTTCTTTTGTCACAATTGGATATGAATTTCAAAATTTTACAACACACAATTTACTTTAGAATAATGAGTGTTTTTCATTCGTAAGAATTTTTTTCCAAATGGGTTTCAATTAAATGACAATTTTATCCCCTGAAACAATAATGATATAATAAAATAGAGATGGACGAAAAGATTTAAAATAATTTTTAGTCATAATAAATTCTTAGAGTATTAAGAAATGAAGTTATAATTTGCAGGGAATTTTCTAAAATTCCCGTATAAAAAATAAAATAAACACTCTTTTGGTTCAAATTTTTTTAACCAAAATGTTTACTACCTACATCGTATTTTATCGAAATACAGTAAAATCCTAATTTTACGTAAACTTCTTCTTATCTTTATAACACTCAATTGTCTTTCTTTTTAAATTACGCATGCATCCTTTTTACATTACACATTGCTTTTTAATAGAGATCATTATAATTTCATCATAATGATAAAAAAAATAATTAAAAAAATCAGAAAATGTAAGAGTATAACTTTGGCCCAAAACCGTTTTGAAAAGCTGAAACAAAATCAATGTACTTTAATTATTAGTTTATTTATTTTCTTCCAAATATCCATTCAAAAATTATGGAGGTAAATTGTTGCTGTAATTCCACGCCACTTTGGATCGCGGAACAATCTAGAAAATTTCATTTGGATAATCAAACCAATTGATATAATTTATATAACAAAAATTGGATAAAAACATTTGAATGACGTGGGGAAGAAGCTTTAGGTGAGTAAGCTTCCTTGCTTGCTAAGACTCCATCTTTTTTGTTTTTTATATTTTATATTTTAATCAGACATTATTATTAAATTCCTAAATTAAAACCAACAAGTCATCCATAGCTTTCCATTGATTTAAGATAAACAAAATAAAACTTTTTGATTGGGTGGAATATAATACTTTCCCTCCCTGGATCAATTGATTGCTTAAAAGTTAATTATCATTTACTAGAATTTATGTTAATTAGGGATTGTAATTCCAATTTTCATAAATATATATTGCATAACTATGTTACACAATTAGGGATTTGTATGAATTTGAAATTATATGAATATTGTGATACTTTTACCAAATGAATTAGATCATTTGAATTGATGATTTTTTTAACTATTTAACTGTTATTTTTTGTAATTTTTTTTCTGTGAAATTTTTGTTTCCCTTTTCTCGTTGAATTGAAACAATCCCTCCATTAATTGATGATAAGGTTGGAAACAATGAATTTGTGTCTTTGAAAAGAGTGAGGTAGGTTGTTCTTGTATCATAAATCAATGGAGAATCTATCACATGAACGAGTTATTATGCTTTTAGGGCAAATCTTATTTTCATTTTCTTTACAAATGTATGTCTTTTGGAACATATAGTAATGGCATGTTTTCAAATATAAAATACCCATAAAGTTTGAGAAAGAAGGAGAACAAAACCAAAGTTATTTTGAGAATACTCAAAGATATTAAGAACCAAATGGAACTAATTTTATATTAATTGATTTTTTTAATGGTTTGAAATTGAATTATTTTAGTTAAATTGTTACAAACTGCATTCAATTATTTCTGAACTGTTTTCTATTTCAAAATAGGTTCATGACATGTTCACCACTCTCAACTATTGAACAGAGAATAGAGAATATAGATTATGGATTAATAATTCTAAATGTACATACATGGCTATCTTAATTTTTCATCTATAATTAAAACAAAGACGAGTATTAAAACCGAATAGACTAAATCATTCACATCAACTATTAAATACATTTGATCTATTAAAAAGGAAATTCAAACAGGCTGAGAATGTGTATCAGTTGCAAAATATTTTCTGTTGAACAGTTGAGAATGGTGAAAATATCATATTTTGAAATAGAAAACATTTTTCACAACAATTTATTGCAGTTTAGATTAATTCAAACACGTTGTTACAGCGCATTTTGCCCACACAGTCCTCATTTCAAATTAAAAACATGTTATGACGTCAGAGGCAAAATAACTGAGTTAAAGTCCAGATTGATTATCCAGTTCAGTTTAAAGATGGATTAGTTCTTTTTTTTTTTCAATTTAAAGTTAACACAGTAATTAATTAATCAATTATTTTTAGTAATGGTTATGGGTGACTCGAAATTGCTAGGTCTATTAGAGCTTTATTGAATCATTGTGCCCATTGTTTGATTTTACTATATCTCAATCCAGAATAATTATTTTTAAGAATTTTAGATGTTATCCTTAGTTGTTGTTTATAAGAAAATTTTCCTATTTCCTTGTGTATTAAAGAAAATATCTTCACTCACCAATAACATTATTTTAGGTGTTTGGTTTTCGAGTAGGATTTACTGGTCAAAGTCCTTGCTTAAAAATCTATTATATAATATATACCCTATATTTATCTCCTCTTCGTTTCTTATCATTTGATTTTTATTTATACAGCTATACTTTTTTGTGCAGCTACAAACTGCAAATGTTTGCAACGATAAACTGTGGCAGTTGTTGTACTATCAAGTCAATATAGACACCACACAAATAGACTCCATTGGGTGAAAAACAGTGATTTTGACTATTTCCTGGATAAGTAAAAGCACTTGGTATCTTTTATCATACCAAATTGAGAGGTCGCCACCTCCAATCCAATATTGAAAACTTAACAGTAATTGGAGTTCCTTGGGAAATCCAGGAAACTCAGGTCTTGGAGGGATTATATGCTACCATTTTGGAAATTGGCTCGCATGCTTTACTTTACTGGAAGGTACGGGATTACAACGAGTCTTAAAGAATAGCTTCTTGTCATATATCATGTCTCCAACAAGCATGAAATTATGGGTTTGGCTTTATCATCTGTGAAACTGACTCAACTATAGCAGTAGAACTAATGAGCCAACCACAGAGATTTCCATCATATTTTCCTTTCGTGTCTCTTATCAACAACTTATTGATTGAAATTGGAGTGTTCGATTGAAGCATTTTCTCAGAGAAGTAAATATGTGTGTTGATTGGTTTGATAAATTTGGAGCCACTCATAGGACTTTCTTTTTTAGTCCGGGCTCATTTTCCTCTCTAGATTGCTCCCTTTTTTCTTGCTGACAAAATGGGAGCCATGCATGTTAGGGATTAGGTCTTCTACTTTTATTTATTTATAAATTCTGACGCATAATAAAAAAATTGACCTCACTTGGGCACAAATTGTTATTCGCGTCTCTGTTTGGTGTCACTTCAATAACACTAACACCTGAACATCCATCTCCACTATCTCTCATCATATCCCTCACCCTCGCTACATCATCCCACCTCCCAACGATCGCATAAAGATTTGACATCAATACATAAAATCCACCGTTTCTATAATTCAATAAAAACATATTTTTGGCTAAACATTCCCCAAGCTTTACTTCACGTTGAATGCAACAAGCACTTAACAATGCTCCCCAGACAGCAGAATCAGGCCGAATTTCCATGTTTTTAATAACCTCCATTGCTTCCTCGAACAACCCTGCCCGACCCAGGAGACCGACAATGCAAGCATAATGCTGCAAAGTTGGCCTCAAACCGTACTTTTCTGTCATGCTACGAAAGTATTCAATTCCTGCGTAGACAAGCCCCCCATGGGTGCATGCAGCTAAAACTCCCAAGAAGGTGATTTTATCTGGTTCAAGTCCTTGTTCAAGCAGTTTAGAAAAACAACGGAAAGCTTTGTGTTCAAGTCCATATAAACTATAACCCGATATGATGGAGTTCCAAGTTGCCAAACATGGATCGTTGATGCTATAAAATACCTTTTCACCATAATCTAATCTTCCACACTTGGAATACATATCTATCAGAGCAGTTCCTGTAAAATCTTCCACTTTCACATTGTTTCTAAGGATATATCCATGTAGTGTCTCTCCAATCCGCAGGTACCCAAGCTGGCAACACCCTGATAGTAGACTAGCGATGGTAATGGCATCTGGTTTTTGTCCATACGTGTTCATTTGGCAGAATAACTCCATTGCATCACTTGATTTTGCAGCCTGAACACAACCAGATATCACAGAATTCCAAGTGACCAATGGTTTTTCACTCCTGTCAAAAAACAAAGATAAGGCACTTTCTATCTCATCAAATCTCGAATACATGCTTATTAGCCCATTTGCAACCAAGCAATCATTAGTCAGCCCGTTCTTCAACCCATAACCATGGAAAGCACATCCAATGGCAAAATGAGAAGGATTAGTAATTCCATGTAGGACACCAATCAATGCAACTGCATCTAATCTTATCTCTAGCAGTAGAGTTTGGTTAAAACACTCCACCGCAGACTCTACATCACCTTTTTCCGAATAGCTAGAGATTATCGCAGTTATCGAAATCAGGTCCTTTGTGGAATAACTTTTGAAAAGCAATTTTGCCATATCTGTGAGCCCTTGCTTTGCATGTAGACAAACTAGGGAGGTTACAACAGAAGCGTCACTGGTTAAGCCACATTTGACAACATAACAATGGACAGTTTCCGGAACCGCATTAGCTGACGTAAGGTTCACCATTGTCACTGGACTGGGTTTCAAACCTTCCTTCAGCATCTCTTTAAAGCACAAAACCGCCTTGTGCGGAAAACCATTTTGGCAATAGGCACCAATCATGGTATTCCAAGAGATAACATTTTTCTCACCCATTTCTACAAACAAGAGTTGGGATGCTTCCAAGTCATTAAATTTAGCATACATTGAGGTAAGGGCATTATTCAATTGTGGATCCAAACCAAGGCCGGCTTTGATCCCAAACCCATGAATGGATTCACCTTGAAGAATAAATTCGCGACGACCACATGAGGGCAACAAACTAGCAATTGTTGTTTGGTTAGGCCTAAAACTTTCTCTTAGCATGTGCACAAAGAGTTGAAGAGCGTCACGAGGGAGCTCATTTTGTGAATATCCACAAATCAACACGTTCCATGAAACAACATCTTTAGAAAGCATATTTTCGAACAGTTGGCGTGCGTGAGTGGTGAAGCCAAGTTTCATGTAGAAGTCAATGATAGCGGTGTTTACATACAGAAATTTGTCAGTGGCCCGTTTGAACAAGTGAGTTTGAATCTGGTAGGCTTGTAAGGTCGCGGAGGGTGAAGCGCGGGAAAAGGAATGGGAGGAAATGCAAGCTTTGATGAGTAAAGAAAAGGTAACATCGTTGGGGGTGGCATTGGCCTGTAAAAGTTGTCGGAAAATAAGAATTGGACAACTTGCATCCTGAAAGAGAGAGTGAAAGAGAGAAGGATTGAGCTTAGAAGGCAACCTCATTTCATGATCCTTTTTTACACTTCCAAACCACAATGAATGAAGAGTGAAGAGAGTGTTCGGTTTTGTATTTTGAAGAGTTATTGAAAAGATAAAGTCTAAAATTGCTTAGAATAATTTAGTTCTAAAGAAGTATCTGAATGTGATATTGATTTTCAAAGTGGCGTTCAAGGATTGGCCTCTGGAAATGCTAATTACATACAATTTTAATTGTAATTAGGGAGAAAACTTAGATTCATACGTGTTATTTTTTATATTTTATAATTAACATTACAATCTTATTTTAGTAATCACCTAATTTTTTAATTCAAATTCTTCTCAAACATATTATTATTGAAGTGATATTTTAATTTTGATTAAAATCAGTGAAAATATAACACACTGTTTTTGTACAACATAACACAAAGTATTATATCTAAAATTTTCTTTTTTTATAGGTGGTCAGAGTTTTTTTAACATGTTTTATTGTTGTTATTTTTTGTCATTGGTTATTTTCAAAAAAAAGTAGTAACTGCATATTTTAATGTATTCTTAATTTCATTTAAAGTTACTTTCTCACGACAATGCGAAAAGCTACTTTTTTTTTAATTACTAATAATTATTATTACTATTGTTATTAAAATCTTATATTTAATAAATAATAAAGTTCAAGCTTGTCGTTATCATTGGTGTCATGTTACACCTTAGAAATATATTTACATTACATAAATAAATTAGACTCGATTTTTGTAGACCCTAACATAAATATTTTTATACCATTAGTAAATTATTGCAGAATAAATCTTTATACAAAAATTTATTGAAATGAAATTTTCATGCATGCTAAATTGGGCCTTTAAAAAAATATTTGACAAATAAACACGATAAATTCAAACTATGTAATTTTAGTCAAAATCAATCTCAAACTTAATAAAGTACTTATACTTAATCAATTTTTAATCAACTTGATTTATTACTTACGCTTGTGTATAGGTCACATCAATCCTTCAATAGCTAAATAAATCATATTTATATCATGTGATTAAAAGTACTACAATGTCTAACTTATTTCATCCTTTTTACACGAATGATAATATTAATATTTACACATGTATATGCACACAAAAAATATAAATTTTAAACTTAATTTTTCTTTTAAAAAAAGTTTGGTCAAAATTGTCATTTTCACAGTTTCGTTCTGAATTTTAAATTTAATTTATAAGAAGAAGAAAAATTAGTCAAACATAATGTTAAACTCTTTACAAATATACTATAAGTATTTTCATTTTTTTAGAAATGCGATATTGAGCAGTTTTGTTTGATATAACAATTTTTACAAATACATATACAACAATATTATAATTTTTTTTTCATAATTTTGGTATAATATATTATAATAAAATTTTGGTTACTGTACTTGTAGTGTGATAGTTGTGATAATTATTATTGTTTACTAATGTCTATTGTTTTTTATTAACAAAAAATATGGAGACACGAGATGACACGTGTAATTCTACGGGGAATGAATAACAAATTTTGTTGAAGTTTATTTAAAATAAAAATAACCACATAAATAAAATCTTGAGACAATATATTGTAGTTAATTATAAATATTGTTAAAAGAATAAATCAGAAAGAACAGTGCGTGGATATGGAGAGTGCGTGTCTTCTCTTCATTCGAGGATTGAAGGTTTGTTGTGCAGAGAGAGATATGGCAAAAGCCCGCCCTTGGTTTCCACCCTGTGTCTGTCTTTCTGGTAGCTCACTCTTTCTCTTTCCTTCGTCTCTCCTCGTATCCACGGATCAAAATCAAATCTTACCCTTTCCTCTCTCTCATTTTATTATCTATTTTGTTTTCGATTCATTTTCAGTACTTCATACCATTTATTTGTTTCCTTTGCCTCAATTTTCGTTTCATTTATTTCGTTTATTTATAATTCAACTTCAAATTTATGCATTACAACATCCATTAAATTAGAATTAGAGTGAATGCTTAGTTAACCCCACTAGCAAGGCCCAAAATGCTCGAATTGCATTTAATGGTAGGTGTTATTGCAAGTCGCAATGTATATAACATGTTGTTCTAACTTCGGAACGGAATGATCTTCATTTTGCTGTCAAAAGCAGGGTTGAGTGGATCTGCGTGGGGATTTGATTTCTGATTGCTGCTCCTTCAAGAATCTGTCTGGCTTTCCACTTTGAAATCCTTACACTATCGTGGCTATGTCTAATCTCTCTGTTTCTATATAAACATCAATGTCCATTGAATCACAACCATTTATAATCATTTTTTCAATTCCCAAATAGTTCAGGCTATAGAGATTTTGTCTGCAATCACTCTCTACCTAGGGAAAGTCATTTCGTTATTGGTTATTTTATCCTTTCACTTGATGATGGTTGTGTATGGTATTGATACGTTGTCCCTGAGCTCATACATTTGCCTGAGAAATGCATGAATCAATTGAAACTTGGCATTCTTTTCTCTGAGGCATCACCAGGTACCTGCTAACTTATCAAAATTTTCTATCCCAACCTCTTGATTATGAGCAGTGTGACATTTTACATACCAAAGATGCCGCAGGTTGTCATTCCCGGGCAGATTAGCAACTCCTTTGCCGGTGTTAGATTAGAGATACAGAAACCAAATAAGTGTAGAACTTCCCATGTAGTTTTCAGCTTAGTTCCTAGGCACAGTCATGGCAAACTATGTCTTGGTCGGACAAAAATTGAACCTCTAGTAAAAATCAGGCACACATTCTGGTCTAGTAGGATAAGAGTTGCTGATGAATATCAAGAAGGGTTGTCTGATGAAGATGAAGATCTCTGTCCCGTTGAATGTGTAAGAGAATTTATGACTGATGAAGAGTTCAGCAAAATTTTGGAGAAGGCTAAAGAAACTGGATCTTTGGTGGTGGTAGATTTCTTCCGCACCTCTTGTGGAAGCTGCAAGTATATAGAGCAGGGTTTTACAAAGTTGTGCAAGAAATCTGGTGATCATGAAGCTCCGGTAATTTTTCTAAAGCATAATGTAAGTATCTATTTCCTCCATGTTGCAGACAAATATTCATGTTCCTATCTCCTGTACAACAAGCTTTTTTAGATTAATTTTCGCATATAGTAAAGGTTTTTACACTATTAATTAATCAAAACTGTTTTGCGTTTGATTTTTAAACTAATTATTATAAAAGACAACAAGCTTATACACACGTAAATATGTAATTGGATGACAGTGACATTGACCTTTACACTATCATGGTATTTTATTTGATTTTGCGTTGAAGTCCTATAGTGACAATGTAAATGATCTCTATCTTGTCGTCCAATCACAAACGGTTATGAATGATAAATTTATCAATATTTATAACAACTATGATAAAACTCATGTTAATGATAAATTTTAATTAATTTATAGTGTAAAATTCTTTACAGCAAAAGTGCATAAAAATTACAGTCTTTATTTATTATTAGTTTCTATATAAACATAAGGACTTGAATATTAAGTCTATCAGGAACAACAAATATGCTCATCCTTTCTCCTCTATTTTACAAAGTTATTTACAGTTTGCGGAGAAGAAACTCATGATCAACTAATACTTATCTTGAAACTATTTGAAGAAATTTTTTCAGGAGCATTTTTGAAATAAATACTTTCTAACTCATACGTAAACTAACTTTACTTTATAAAAAAAAAAAGTTGATATTATTTTAAAATTTTTCTCCTAAAATGTTTGTGTAGAAATTTATCCTAAGAGGCTTTTATCTTGGTTTCTCAAACTAGAGGTTTTATTTGATTAATTAATAGATTTAGTATGTTAAAAGTTCATCTATAGAGACTCTTTTCACGCTATTGCTTGCAGGTAATGGATGAGTATGATGAGCAATCCGAGGTTGCTGAGCGACTTAGAATCAGGGTACTACTTCTCTTTTATTGATTACTGATTATCGAATGAAACTTAATCTTTATAAATTGACCAACCTCCCTAAAAGACAGCTAAGCATTAGCCATCGTCGGGTAAATCAAAATGTTTGTTGTCCAACTTCTCTTCAATGCTTTGTGGTTAGTGTCTTCATTTTGCATGATTTCTCCAGTTTACTCTATTTACTGGTGTCCAAAATGTCGTTGCTTTTGATGTCTATCTCTCAAACTATCTTCTCTTTCTTCGCCTCTCTTTTTATTGTTAATTCAATCTTCTTCCAATCCGTAATAGATATAGGTTGTGCATGATTTGTGCTACAAAGTATTCATGCTTTATGATACGTTGAATTTGAAAAGGAAACAAACTGATGCAGGCCGTGCCTCTTTTCCACTTCTACAAAGATGGGGTCCTGTTGGAAGCATTCCCAACCAGGGACAAAGAAAAGATTATTGCAGCCATTCTCAAATACTCTTCCCTTGAAGCTGAAGATATCTTAGGTTAACTTTGAATCGGATGGGGTCATAGTACACTCAGGGACGGTCGTGCACTGCAGGGAAATAAGTCAATTTTTTTGTACGTGACAGAGTTCATTAATCAGCATGTGCTGTGTACTCAATAAAATACTGTAGCCCTCCCTATCTCCCTGATTCACTTTGTTAAAATGGAAAAGATTTTTTTGAGAATTCAATTTTTACAGAAATCCTATTAATAATCTTAAAATATAATTTTTTTATTAATTGATTGAATGAGAATAAAGTAAGATAGATAAATAATAATATAAAAATTTAAAAATAATTATTGAATGAATATTTTTATCTTTTTGTAATGTCAAAATAGGGTAACTTTAGATAAAATGAGATATTGCTTGCAAAGTATTCAATGAAGAGTTTATTGTCCACCATGATACACCCTGCTCTTTCCATTGAGGTGAGGTTATAAATAAAATTTGACTCATTTTATTATTTATTTATTTTATTCAGTTTGATGTTTTATTAATAAAAAGTTTGATTAAATCTTTCAATTTTAAAAATATAGAAGTGTGACTTTTTTTAATATTCAATCAAATTCTTCAATTTTTAAAAATACAGCAATATGGCCATGTAAATGTTAAAACTTATGTAATTAGATTTATAAATTATTAATATATACTAATTATAAACTGTAACCATGCATAAAACAATTATTTTTTTAATTGGGTGAAAAAGAATCATATTGTTACTATTTAATTACATTTTATTAATAGAAAAAAATAATTAAGCCATAAATTTATCATTATGCTTATTTGTATCGTTTTCTATTTAGTAAATGATCTTTACATCCTTGCATCTTTGTTTGTATTTTACGTGCTTATGGGTATTTAAACTTTAGAATGAATTCTTATGCAGTTTTACTATTGTAGCGATTCACGTGACAGATCTTTTACAAAATTTGTTCGGTATATAATAGTGGTTTTTAACAGTTTTTAAGAATTGTGAGATAATTCTTACATGGATAAAAAATAAATGAGATGATTGCAGATTCTTTTAAAATTATTGAAGATTTATCATTGGAATCTAATAAACAACTTTTCTATAATTATACGATTAGGGATGCTCTATAATGTTATCCGTTATTCAGAAGTTAATTGGAAATAATAAGGTAATGGACAAATAGGGGATGTGAGAGAAAGACGTTACTCATTAACTTGCAGAGAAATACATCTAAGTTATCTCGAAAGTTATGAGCAATAATAATAAAGTATTAGTTTTGATGTACACGAACAATATTTACCACGTAGCAGCTAAACTGTTCATTACAAAAGCAAAAAATTATTATTTTAGTCTTCAAAACTATTAAATCCGTTTTTTATTTTGATTTTTGTAATTTTATATTATAAAATGTCATCATTTGATAACGTCAGAAACCAAAATAAAAAAAGAATATCAATTGATAATTTTAAGAATTAGATCGAGATTTAAAGATTTAAAAACTAAATAAAATCAATCAATAACTTCAGCTAGTTCGAAGTATTGTTAGCATTAATTATTCGGTATTATCTGAAATTAGGTCCAAATTACAGTTTAGCAAAATCCAATCATGTTTCCAAAACAGGTGATGAACTAGGGATGAGGACTAAAAAATTATGGCCATAATTTTTAATGCGTTTTATTAAAGAAAAAAAAAATCTGACCATTGGAATGTTTGCACTGACTCGTTTTTTCATTTTTTGGGGAGGGAGCAGTTTGTAAAGCCAGAAGTCGTTTCTAAAAACTAATAAAAGGTTCATGTCAATTTCAAGATCAGCATATATTGTATAATTCATCTATCATAAATTACAAAAATCACTAGAGATTAAATATAGAAATGATCAATCATTTACCATTAAGCGCCCAAGAATAAAAAGCCGCTCAATTCATGCAGAGACTATATAATTGACCTCAACTATGTTCAAGTCAAAAAAACTGGTGAGAACAACTTTATGCCCTTTTACCATACGAGCTTTCATGAACCCGCACTTCCGGTCCATATATCAAACGGCAACGCTCAGTAAATGAACCTACCATCTTAGAGGCTACCTCCTTAAAGAACATTGATGCAATCTGATCACCATAAAAGAACATTTGATTAGTCATACAAACAAAAATTGCAAAATATAACTTACACAAATATAAACTCTGTAATCCTAAGTGTAGTGATGAAGTGAGTTTCAGTGTAGGCAACTGTATGAATACAAACGCAGGTGCAATTGAGGGACAGTATGCCCGCAGTACTACTAATTAAACCTTCTCCAGAAGTAGAACGACATACAGGGTTCAGTGCTAGAAAATGAAAAGTGAGGACAACGCATGATTCAATTTCCAATCAAAGCTTGAAGACACAAAAAAAGAAAGTTGTGGAGAATATATACATTATAACACAACTATACCTGTCTGTAAAGTGGAGAGTGAAACTTAAAATCCACCAAGAAATGAAGATTACAACTTCCAGGAACAGGGCCAGGGTTAAATTCCCAAATGTTTATCAAATGGTCAAACAAGGTACTTTGTGACACAGTTGTCTGAAAACCAAAAGAAATATATACAGTATAAGTACAGAAATCTACTACAAACATTTAGAAAGAGAGAAAGAAATAAAGAGAAACACAAAGACCCATGTTCATGATAAAAACAAATTTGGATAATCTACTGGTTAGTGCGTAAAGAATCTAAAACCCAATTATTATATCTTTTACTAAAAAGAACCAAAATCAATCGACACTCAAGTAATTATGAAGAATTGATATGAGAACAATCATGAGTAATTGGCAATAGCAGCGTTACACTCTGCTGTTCACAATCTGCATCTCATATGCCAATGCTTTTCAGCGCATACATCATGGTGCTAGGTTATAGAAGTTTTCTCCGAAGGATTTAATACTCCAGAAGTATTTACTGCATGCCACACATTGACTGGCCATATCACCCTCAAGCATCACAATTGCATAATGATATGACAAAAATAAACTGTCAATCATACCAGAGTTGCAGAGAAAATATACTATCAGAAACTACCAAGGAAAAAATGTTCAGGCTTGGCTTGCCTCATCTCCTAACAAACAGAGACTCGGACAAATGAGAAGTTCATTTAATGAACAAGTCAAGCTTGAGAATTTACATTTCTACTAACTGTCTCATTAATTGATCAGTTAAAAAAACACGAAGCTAGAACAAAATATATGTCAGACGTAAAAACCAGAGAAGAAATTCTATTTTTGAATGAGATATATATTTTTGTTACTGGGATTTCAATATATAAAGAATATATTTCCTAAATAACTCTGTAAAACTAAGAACCTAATAGTCAATTAAATTATAATAACATACACGCTAATAATCAGGAAAACGGGAAACAGATAGCTTAACTATTGCCTATTAATTTTGAAAGAAATATGTCCAGGAGATGTCAATAGCTCCGATATTGATGTCAAAAACATTATATGTCGTTAGAATACTAAATGTTATCATTTATCTTTACGCTAGGCTAAAAGTTAACCATTGATTACTAAAATACAGTTAGCTTTTAATTTACTGCCCCTTGACTACTCAATTCATTGATTGCAATCAAGCTACAGACAAAATATCAAGTATGCTACACATACAGAAATCCTCTAAATAATTATTTCTTTCAACATATTATCTTACATATAAAAGTGTGCACGGACGCTCAGATGGACTTCAAAACCATGGACCTTCAATTAAAGTATACTACAGAAGAGAGAGGAGGAATAGAGGCAGTTTGGGAGGTGGGGTGGAGGAATCTGTTGTGCATTCCCTAGTAGAAGGGACAAGAGCCAGCAGGAAATTTTGCAGCAATCACGAAAGGGAACATGAACCTGAAGGGAATGGAGGGACGCACACTGCAGGGTGGTGTCCTCTTTCTGGGTGTTTTAGTGTGGATGATGCCACAGTGAAGAGAAGGTACAACTTCGGTGAGTGACTTTTTTACCTCCATATAAATTTTCTGCTATTTCCATTCTAATCAGAACTTGGCTCTCCTCATTTTTCCTACCATTTCTCCAATATAAGTATCTATCACACTCATTTAAGATTAAGCTCAAAATTTCACATATTAAGACACAATTTGAACCTGTGCAACATCTTTTTCAGACAATCCGAGCAAGATGCTGCTACTTGACGGCTTAACCAACCCTAGAAAAATGTAAGTTGCTAGTACATAGACATAGTTACAGTTTTACTTCATCTAGTTTTAAAATGTTCATTTTTCCCTCTAAACTTCAAATTGGTGCTACTAAGTCTGTCCCTTTGAGTGATGGTCATAAAAAGTATTATTGTTATGAGGAACTGTGTAACATTTCACATCAATGACATTGGTGATGGGAGTCAATTACACCAGTTCCAACGATAACCAAGCAACATTGGTCAGATTGAACTAGAAGGATGCAACTTTTTCTACACTAGAGACTTTTTCTATGTGCAATACGTGTGGAGTTAGCACCCATTGCCATTAAAAGCCATCAACATTTCCAATTTTCCATCAGCATTAAACTGCTTTTACAAAGCACCAAAGCTGCAAAATTTCCAGATAAAAATGACGCCAACTTGATATCGGTCATTGGCTTGAATATGCCTACAGATCTCATTAACTATGGAATTTTAAGCTATGCACTAACAGGTAACAACAACCAACCAAAAAATATGACAACCATGATAGTCCGTAGTGCAACCAAACGGTACTGACGTACTATAGAGTAGATTGAATACCTTTATTCGCTTTGGTCTGTCCACTTGCACATGAGAAACATAACTTTCAACAAGGAATTTAAATCCAATCTCCAACTCAGCATCAAATGATCCGTCTGGATGGTGCCTAAGTATGTCTGACCTTTGACACCATGGAACAAAACCATGATAGAACTCAACAGCAGCAACAACATCAAATAATTGCTCCGGAGAATACCTAGTAATAAATAAACATATCAGTTAGCATATAAAAAGAATGAGAATAACAGAAAATTATAAATATTCTGAATTTAACATTAATTATATGCAAGGCCAATGTAATGCAAGATTATTAGGTAATTCCAAATGACCATGTGTCCATGCTCCCGACCAATCTCTGCGAAACATGTATTCAAGCTTTTCCATTCACAGAAAGAAATGAACAACACTTGATTACATGTCACGGGGATATTAGTTGGGGTCATGATGGTCCCCGGACGACCTAATATTTTATCTATGATAAGAATTTATACCCTCAAATTCATAAAGCTTCTTTAGAATCCACACAAGGAATATTTATCACGTAATTTGAGTACACAAAGAACAAATTTAAAAGCAAGCTTTCAATCACTATTAGAATGTATCCTAACATAATGAAACTAGATTAACATCAAAAAGCTAACTTTCTTTTAAGGATTGAAATGAATCGTACAAGAAGGGAGGACTGACAATGTGATAAACACAACAAAAGCCACCATTTAAGCTCCAACTTGAAAATATTTATAAAATGTATCATATTCCAAATCATTGACTGTAGATAAATAAAATTGGAAAAATCTACTACTAAAAACATAACAAAAACAATAACATGCAAACAGAGTGTAATCCTATTACCCCAAAACGCGTCTCTCCTCGTAGGTTTTGGATAGAATGCCTTCTTCTCCATCTCCACATCCAAGAAACTGTCTAGTGTGAGCAGCAATATAATTGTTATTACTGTTATTATTGTTATTATTACTAGATCCTCCTATGATGGAGGAAAAGCCGACGCGAGAGATGGAAGGCTGAATGTGTTGGCCCGTAATGGCAGTGATGCATCTGCTTTTGTTGGACCTGATGAATTGACTCACACCACTTTTGCGTGATGCTAAGGAGCAAAGGGCCTTCGAGGTCGACAAAAATGGCGGCATAGTAACTCCGAAAAAATTGGGATACCTAATCCAATTAAACTTGGAACTATGAGAAAAATCAGAACTATGCACCTTTAATGATTGCAATAAGTGCAGTTGGAACCACGGCTTCTCTGAAAAACCGATGGTATGAGAACCGCGGATCCAGAATGCGAAACCCTAGGATGCCATAAATAGTTGAAAGGCAGAATATTCTAATGGATGGATACGCGAAATCGGGAGAAGAAATTAAACGGCAAAGAAACAATGGGATGGGTTTGCGAATTTATTTTGCAGAAGAAGTACAAATTTGAGGGGAAATTTGGCGATTGTTGTTCTTTGAAGGAAAACATTCAAACATGAAACCGCGCCACGTGGTTGATTAGGCCATTTTAGTTCTTTTTTCATATATTCCGTGAACCGCCACGCGACATCGTTTATACTAGACGGACCAACAAACGTGGGCAGCGTCGCGAAGATAGGAAACCCGTCTTCCACGCCTTAATATTATATTAAACATATAATCAAATTATTAGTATTATTTATAACATAGTTCAATATATTGGATATGGATAGATAATTACTAAGACGTTTTTTTCTGCTATTATTAACTTTATTTAATTTATACTATATTTATATATAAAATAATTAATTAATTTACAAGTACAATAAACAAAATAAATAAGTTAATTTGATTAATAATAATAATAATATGATCATTTTAGTTCTAAGATACGAATAACATTAAGTAATTTAAGGGATGATTATTGTTATTAAGTCGTTTAATTATTCCATCCAATGGGAAATAAGAGAGTAGCTTGTTGATTAAAAAAAAGGAGAGCATCTCATTGATATTAATATACGTTCCAAAGGAAATTACGAATAAAAGAAAACATATTTATATTGTATTTTTTCATCAATTATGTGGTTGTAAAAATTTTCTATAATTATCTTAGAAGTATATTAATGTTGTGTAAGATTATAATAATCTATTAAAAAATATATTGTTTTATAAAAATATACTAAATTTTGTAATTAAATGCGTGTAAACAAAATATTTTATTATAACTAAATTACAGTAATTAGATAGTAATAATAATAAAAAAAAGGAACTAAAATTAGGTAATTTGATTCCCATTAATATGCGTCTTAATTTATAAATTTTATTTAAATTATTAAAATAATTGAATTAGATAAATTGGCATATATATTTTTTATGAATTCACATTGACAAATAATCTAAATTATAAAAACACAAATAAAACTAAGATCTTATATCAACCCATCATAAAATAAACTCAAATCCGTTTAATTTGAGTGGAGTTCATATTAATTTGTTCTTAATTCAATTTGGATCCAAGCTAAAGGAGCAGGTTAATTTGTAATTTTTTCATAATAAATAAATATTTATTAAATATGCATTTTAAAAACCATTAACTATAATATATTTTAAGTCTCTATTTTTTTTAATCAATCTTATAAATAATATATTTAAAAAAATACTTAAATATTTAACTTTTTAAAATATTTTAAGTCCCTAATTTTTTTAATTCGCTTATCATTTTAAAAACCACTAACTATAATATAATTTAAGTCTCTACTCTTTTTATTACTTCTAAAAAATATACTTAAACATCTATTTAATTTAATTAATATAAAATATTAAAAATAAAGCTATTTGCATATTTCTTTATTCGTATAACAATTTATACGACAATATTTGCCATGTCATTTATAGTCATGTATTGCGTCTAATGCAATGCTAGTTCTTAACTCAATATTGGTTTTTAATATTTGATCTATAAATAAAAATTGTGAAAATTTAAATGATAAGCGAGATTGTGATAACCCCTCCTACAGCGAAATGGCCAGAGGAGAGGCTGCGGAAGCTGCTGCTTCTTCTTTATCCTAAACTTCACACTTCTGCAGAGAGAGTGAGGGAAAAGGTTTGAATACCATTGCCATGTTAGCTGGATAGTTAGGTGAGGTGAGTGATGATTTCAAATTCAACCATGGCTATGCCTTCTTTACTACCCAAAACGGCACCGCATCTCCTTTCCCTCACAAACCCTTACTCTTCCTTTTCCTCTCCCTCTATTTCCATCTTACCTTTCCGTTTCCACTTTCTGCCTCACCTTCCTCCTCTCTCTCCCCTCAAAGCAGCTTCCTCCGCCGGCGATAATTTGCGCAGCAAGCCCCTCGTGTCTCAGGGAAGGGGGATTTTGCAGGAACACGGAAGCCACACTTTTGAAGAAGAAGACGACGACAAATCGATTGACTGGGAGGACCAGATTTTGGAGGACACCGTTCCTCTCGTTGGCTTCGTCAGGATGATTCTTCATTCTGGACAGTATGTCTCTCTCGCCAAACCAATTCCTCCCTCACTCTATTTTACACCTATATATATAGAATAAGCATATCATGCAATTGCAAATGAAACTACTATTATTGTAGGACAGTATATCTCAAATCGAATGCGGATCATATACTAACCGTCTAACTCTAACATTTGAGTGTTTCAACCTCGACACATGACAATAAACAGTTGAATCATCGATGAATTAACTCAAGGCCTGCTCTGAAGTTTCATATTACTTCCTGTAATATGATTTCAGAACTACGCGTTGAGAAAGAGTTGGAAAAATGCATAAAGACTTTAAGCTAAACGTGCAAGATACATAGACAGGGTATTTAATCAAGTTGGGAGTTCATGTATTATGGGAGTCTTCAATTTCATTCTCCAACTTAATTCCTTGTCATCTCTTGCATTTAATTCAGAGTTCTTAATAGCCACAATACCGGTGCTATTACACGTTTCCATGGATTCGCAATAGTTACTCCGTCTGCTATTGTGGCTGCTATGGGTGTCATGGTTGTGGTGTGCGTCCTCTTGTCATCTCAGGCCAATTGAACTTTTGAGATATTATGCCAATTTTTATTCATTTGCATACAGCTTAATTTTTTTATGCATATATAACTGATAGATATAGTATATTTAAACTATTATGTGACTTTCACTATTTGCCCACAATGCTATCCACTGCATGATATAACAGATTATTGACTTTCCACCATTTTCTGTTGATCGCGATTGTTGATACTGGGTGTTTGAACTGACGAATCCCATCACTGTATACATCTAGGGTTCTGTGCATAACAATATAGCTACGAACAAGAAAGACAAGCAGGGATTTTTATATGGGTGCTGGAAATGCCCTCTTTTTGGTAGCTGACTGACATTGTCTTATGTGTCAGGCCTAAATTTTGAGATTGATTTTAAGTGCTCTGCCATTTTCAATATTGCGTGGGTTTCAAACACACCAGGCAAGTGGGAATCTCTTTTATCCAAAGTTCCAAACCACATTTGGGCTTGCTGGGGATTTCAATATCCAAATATGAAATCTATAGCTGTAATAGTGAGAATGACAAAGATGAGACTTGGATATAGAAGATGATGATTAATGAATCTTCTTGTATTTGACTTTTGTTGGTGTTTACTTGTATGTTTAGACACCAATGACTTTTTATTGTTTTTTATGAATGTCATGAATTTTGAGTAATGTCTATCATTTTTTAGAATTTATGTATATATTACATTATATAAACTATATAAAAAAATTCTTGAGATATTGTCATCCCACTATTTGTGTTCCCGCAAAAGAGTTTTTAGGGCCAGTTGCTATGCACTGCTGCTATTTGGGATTTAAAACACTGATGGATCTACATACATGCTTTGTTTTCATTTATCTTGGAAATTCTGATCACACCTTGTCAAAATTCTTGCCTCAGATAAGAAAATACATGTACTGGTTTCATTTCTGATGGAAATTCTGATAATACATTGTTACAAATTCTTGTGATAGATATGAAAGTGGAGATAGACTCAGTGAAGAGCATGAGAAAATCATTATTGAGAAGCTGCTTCCCTTTCATCCAGAATTTGAGAAAAAGATCGGATGTGGAATTGATTATATCACGGTATCTCTCTCTCGCATACACATTTTTCACCCTCTAACACAATATGTGCACTAATTGACAAAAGGCTTTTCCAATATTACTTGTTTTTTCGGGTGGGTCCAATAATTATAATTTTTTTAGGTTTAGCAGTCTTAGATTAGATATATGGCCATTATATTAATTGTGGCCTACTGCAAATATTTTCACCCTTCATCTATTAAAATGGCTTTGGTATGTGGTGGGTGTTGGAAAGCCAGCTTAATTGTGTTTACCCCCTAGTCTCTTAGTTGAGGCCCTTTTGAGATGCTTTAATTGCATTTGCAGCCTCCATCACCTTCATTGTGTTGGGTGTGAAAAGATCTGTCTAGTCCCATGTCATCTAGTGATGTAGCCGAAGTGCGCTTTAAGATTTGGATAATTTTCACCTTACAAGGTGGTTTTGGAATTGAGTTTGGTCCCAAGCTCAAATTCCAAGAGTGGGGCCCCACTAATAATAGGATCTGTCTCTTAGGAAATGCAGGGTACAATAGTGCAAATTGGTAGTTATTGGTGGGGGAATGAAGTGATTGGCTTTTGCAAATTCATGGAGTGCTATCCGATTGCTTTTGTTTTATGAAAATTTGTGCCACTGATTTTGTTCATCGGTGATCCACTCTATATTTTATTTGGCAAAATGCTCCCTTGCAATTAGAGAACTCCATCCTTAATGCTGTTAATCTTTTCCTAATTGGATAGATTTTACATCAGCTGATTTGTTAGTAACTGAACTTACGTATCTCTTCTGTCTCAAGCTCTGGTACAGATAAGTTCTTTCAAGATCTTCATGCTAAAGCTGTATTGATTTTTACCTTTCTAGTAGGCCAACAAATTTAGTGTTCCTTTCTAGCAGGCCAATAAATTGAGGGTTTCACATTTGGCTACTCTGTTCAATCTTTTTCTCATTCCATGATACTTAGGAATTCACGTAATAAAATCATTTAGTAATGTTTTTAGCCCTGTAAAATCTTTTGCTGCTAGCCATTGAGGTATGTAAAAAAAATTCATTAAACCGAACTAAACCTGAATTCAAACCATATTTTAGAACTACTAACCAGTTTTGAATCTAATTTTGGTTTAAAACCAAATTGGGACCAAAACCAATTCAAAATTAGTTTAAAACTGGTTAGACCACAACCAAACCAGTTTTAAAATCCGATTCGTATAATTGGTTCGATTTGATCTGGTTTTACATGATATAAAGCCTTGGACATCCCTGGGCAGCCAAATACGGCCTTTGCCTTGATGTTACCATCACGTGTAATAATGTTATTCCTGTCTTAGCTGCTGAAAAGGATGTAGAATAAAAGGATTCCATTTGACCCTTGCTGGGCTACGGATGCATTGTGCATTGATTGGCTTCTGCTCTTTAACTGTCTTCCATCACTTTCCAATATTAGCTTTTGGACAAGCACTACTAAAAATCAATAAAATATCTATTCACTGCATGCATTGCCACTTGAGTTGAATTCTATCCAATCTGCTTTTCTTGAAGGTAACTATAACACTTGGTTTGTGATCTTTACATGTTTTGCTGAAACTTTGTTATTCCCTTTTCTGGTGACAGATTGGATATCATCCTGATTTTGAACGCTCTAGGTGTTTGTTCATAGTTCGACAAGATGGGCAGTTAGTTGATTTTTCATATTGGAAATGCATAAAGGGCTTGATCAGAAAGAATTACCCATTATATGCAGACAGTTTCATTCTCAGACATTTCAGGAAGAAAAGTCGTAATTTGTGAAGTTAGCACCGTATTATGCTGGTTGGACCATTTCATTTTTAGAGTTCGCTTCTTTTTTACAAATCCCTTTTGATTTCGTGTTCCCTTATTGCTGGTAGCGTGCTATATTAAAGGTCTGAGAAAAATGTGTGCAAATTTTTTTGGAGTTCAGAAGAGTGGTTAGCATTTAGCGACTCACTACTACAGATTGCCATCAATGACAGAAGTTGTTCCCATTTTATTATTGACAATATTTGTAGTGATATAAAAAATGTGGAAATGTAGATGATGTATATAGACCTTGATGATAATGTACCTTTCACTTCAAATATTTTTTCAATCTGTAGAATTGAACTTTATTTTATACCGTTCTGCACCTGTTTGTTTAGAGTAAAATCAGGAAGGAGGAAATGGGGAAGAGGGAAAAAAGGTAGCAAATAAATATCTTTTATTGTTTGTTAAGATGGGAAATTAGGGATGAAATCTCTTTGGGACGAAGGCGAGGGGAGTTGATTTCCTTATCGGCAGAAGTGAAATCCGATTGGGCCCAATTGTTCTTACTCTTTAGCTCTAACATTTTTGTGTGCGTGTTTCTTCCTACATTCTATAATTATTTTCGTGAACGTTTCATTTATTAATTTTCAAAATGTAAAATATACATTTTAAAAAGTCTATTTCCAAATTCAAAATGAATGGAATATTGTGGGATTAAGTGTACCTTGACATGCGGATATAACTAAGCTGGCTTATGTGTATGGATTTGGTTTATGGGCTGGCTCGTTAGAGCTTGGCCTGCATGGACTTGGATTCCATTTTACCCCACCATTTAGAAGGGGGTCTTATCTTTTGTGTTAAATAGATTTGATTATGAGTTTGTAGATTAATTCGTTTAATTTTAGTTTAGCACAAATATAGTTTTACAACAACGAAATCGAATTCCGAGGAAATTTTAGTTGAGCTCCACCACCACCACAGTTCCTATAATTGTCAACCCCGCTGAGTTCTTCGATGCATGCCACAACGCAAGTGCCGCATGTGCGCTTAATACTAAATAGTTTTAGTTTTATTCTACTTTTAAAAGGATAAATTTATCCAATCGCTTTTGTTTAATTCTCCCATCAAATTAAATAATTTCAAAGAAAATATTTATTCCATTTCTTTCTAATTTTCACAACCTAATCAACATATGCTTTCACTTAAATTTTCGTCTTATTTTCATCTAATATATATTGAACCAATTATGTTACGATATTCTGTAATGAGAAGATTTCTCTGCAGTTGTTTCTTATAAGTCAGTAGATATTGATCCACTAAGTTGGTGCAAAGGTGGAGTTACCTGTAGAGACTAATATTTAAGATATAACCCAACAAAACAACTACTAAACACACATGAAATATGCCTAAGTAGCTGAAGTTACCATAGACGTTTTTATAAGCAAAATGGTGAGTGATTCGATTGCCATTTATCTCTAGTTTGTTATATTCTCTACGAATAAGTAAAACATTTGGTTCGATACATGCAAAGTCAAATCAGTTAACTTCGTCAAAATTCACGTGAAGTATTTTGTCTTTTTTTTTTTTTAAATACGATAAATATTTGATCGAATAAAGTTTTTATTGATTGAATTAAATTTATTGAAAACAAATATGGAATAACTTGTTTATAAGAAAAACTAAATTTATGATGTTGTATAAGATTGTTCTCATAATATCTGAACATACGTCTAGAACATAAACACATCATAAATATAATTTTGAAGGGAAGTAAGTTAGTTTTTACTTATTGTATTAAAATTACAATATGATTTATTTAAAACCACTTTTTTTATATAATAACTTCGACATAATAACCATTAATTTACGATATTTTGCCAAAAATCTACCTCATAATTTCATCATTCATGTGCTTCCCGCTTTTGGTATCCTTGACTTCTTGTTTACCTTTTTTTATTATTATTTTTAATGTTTTTTTGTTGTTTGACATAAACTATGCCACAAACTTATAATTTGTAAAATGAAAGTGTCAGCTTCTCATTGGTTCTTAACTTTTAACACCCACTCAGCATTTATGCAATTAAATACCGAGAATGACTTACTCAACTCATGACGTGCATACATAGGTTCACATGGAATAGAAATAAATAGTGAAAACCAATTTGATTACTATCTTTAATAACTATTTTATGATAATTAAATGTGTTAATATCATGTAAAATTTTGCTCTTTGAATTATCAGAATTTTAGCTGCTCAATCTTTTTAAACCAAGTACTTAACATATGAATATTCATAATATAATAAACGAGTCAGAGGAGATATTATATTAAAAAAATATATAGAATAAAATCAGTGCAATGTAGCAAAAGAAAACCTAAAAAATGTAACAGATGCAGAACATTGAGATGGTTTGTTGGTTGTGCATGTGGCGTGCACTTGTGGGTTATGGTGGAGAGAAGTGCTGGTTGGACACGTGTTTGTGTTCCCATTTTGTTGGTCCCAATATAATATTACAAGGTTTTGGTTCCTTTTTGAAATGGGAATGGAGAATGGACTATATTTCACTCAGTTTCTTTCTCTCTTCTCTTTGCAACACCTGTCTCCTTTCATCTCATCATGTCACTCTCTTTCTCTCCATTCCTCCAAAAACTGCTGAGCTGTCCTAACAACTTTAGACCTTTCCAGAGTTCTTCTTCCCATGCTCACCACCAAACTTTATTCATAATATTCTCCTTCCATTTCTCTACCAACAAAAATTAATTTCATTTTTTCTCATATCAGATCATGTGTCTCACTTTCGCTACATGAAATGCACTAAACCTAAATGGTGTTTTCCATATGAATTTTTCTACAAATTTTACTACCTAAACAAAAATGAATCTAATGTTGTGAGTTGAATTTATACTTTTTTTGTTGTTTTTGGAATTGTCTCACATTTTTAGCACAAATGAACAAATAATTTTACAGTCAGGAACATGTCTCAGTCTCAGTCTCACTTGAAATTCACTGTCAAAACTTGAGATTTTATTATACCCAGTATCGAAAAATACCCTGTTTCTGATTAAATTATTCCTTTTTTTCAAAAAGGAAGGGAACAAAACTGTTTTGGGTATATTCCCAGCTTGATTTGTAAATGGAGTGATGCGAATTGATTGCTACATCATGTATATCATTTTTTTAATCAAGACTGGTGAAGCTAGCAAGGATCAAATTCATATTTTATGAAAATGTGAACTTGAATTTCATTATTGATGTCAAATCTTATTAGTAAATGATTTATGAACGTTTTGTCTATATGTATCATGTGATAGGCTACTAATTTTGATACTGTCTGAACTTTTTTGGTGAAAGCCAAGATTTACTGTTTTGTGTTTGCATGAAGTGGTGGCGGTGGTGTTGTGTGTTGAATTAGAATGATTAAGGGAAAGGGGATTTGGTAGTGAGTGGTGGTTTTGACGCGGAAATGGGAATGGTGCATGCTTGTCCTTTGGCCATCCAAAGACGGCTGAAGCAAATGCAAACCCCACTATGACTCTGCATAGGTATCCACTTAATTCCTAAATAAACAGATTCTATGTATTAAACACATTTTCATTTCAAAGAAGATAAAGACAAACACTACTATCAAACCATTTTAGTCACCTTCTTTTGAAAGCGACCTACGCTGTCTCCTCTTATCTCTCTGTATTTAACTATCTATGAACACATTTTCCAAGTTAGTGTTAAACCCTAAATCATAAAAAAAAAATCAGATGAGTTGAGACCAAAAAGCGCAACAAAACTAATTTTTTGATAGATGATCTTCTATATGTATAAGAAAAGAGTTGGAAATTGAAAATTTTGAGACGTGAGGAGCAAAAACATCTCAAAACCTACTTTTTTATGTTGAGAGTGGACTACGGAGAGAAATGGATATAAGAATTGTGGGGATGAGATTATTGAAGACTACGTTCGCTTAATTGTTTGACTACAACAATCACCGAATCCTTATCTCTTTGTTGCTAATTATAGGTAAGAAGTAGGTTTGTTCGTATACTCTCCTTCATCATGTCATGGAAAAATATAAGTACCATAATTTTGATTTTAAAATTATTTTAGTTTATTTTGTTTCATCACTATATATTTATTGTTTATTCATATAAACACGACATTAACTTTCTTAACTAATGTTATCAGATTAATCATTCAATCTCGCATGATTTTGATGTGACGAGTTATCATATTCCATGACTAGGTACTGTCAAATTTTATCGACAACTTAGAATAATCCGTGTGTATAACAACAACCAGTTAAAATCGGAATCGAACATTTCAAAGTCAAATGCCTCCGTGCTTATATTAGATTGAATCAAATTCACAAAATTAGAAATCCACCACAACTCGTTTCTTTTACTTTCATTTGAAACGTTGAAAGTATAGTAATTGAGGCAGAAGAAGGAGTAGACACGTGTGAGAAATGAGAAAATGGTTGAAGATGAGGATGTGGCGGGAGTGGGTACAGAAGTGAAAACACCCTCCAATTACTTTCACACTAACCCTTTCCTATTCATTTTCTATTCCATTCACAAATTTCGTCTACCCTAAACGCTTATTTGACACGTGTTACCATAACAATTCATAAATCATTTTCAGATTTTATAACATTCTGAGAAAAAAAATCATTTATCTTAAAAAAACAGTTCTATGTACAAATAACAAACTATCAAAATAATATAAATTTTCTCTGTTAAAATATATTAGTCATGTTGGAATCACTGTATAATAACTATAAAATTTAAAAGTTTGAAGAGAAAAAAAAAAAGGTAAAATATCAAACTCTGGTGGTGGCCCTGAATAGAGTGAGTATTTTGAATTCATTCTCTCTTTCCTCTTTGTCTGTGTTGGTTTGTATTTTTATTTATTTTTTGTTAAAAACGAAATTTGGTTGTAAAAAGGTTTCACGTGAATCATCAAAGAGAGAGACGAATATGTGGATTACTGGATAAAGATTTTATATAACTGACAAGATATTTTCTTGTCAGGAGATGATTTACAAAGATTAAGGTGTTAGTTAGAGGAAAATTAAGAAAAAGAAAAAGAAGCTAAGTAACAATTGGTGATTGATTATAGGAGAAAATAGTGTAACAAATAATAATTTAGAAGTAGATCTAAAATAAAATTGTTCGTAAAATGTGTATATGAAAGGCTCACAATTCCTTCAGTTAGTATATGAAATACAAATTCATGTATTTGACTTGTTATTATTATGCCAACTTAATTATAAATGCTTTGAACTTCGAAGGGTAAAAGGAAAATGATAGAATTAGAAAATAATTTCATTAATAAAGTTTGGTACGAACTATAAATAGTTATAATCTTTAAATATTTAGTTAGGATTTGACTCTTAACATGCATTAAAAAAATATTAAAAAAGCTAAACACATTATCTAAGATTTTATTAATTTGTTTAGATTTAAAATAATTTATTGTCAAAAAATTTATGAAAAATTTAAATATATTTTTTTACTGCAATAATTTTTCGAGAACGAGAAAAAGAAAATACAAAGACTATTTAACTAATAAATTAAAAATATAATGTTATAATTTCACCCATAATTGTAACACCGTGGTGAATATTTGAAACAAACAATCTATATTTTTTAAACTTTAGCATCACTAGTTTTTTTTCACCACTATATATTATTTTAATTTTGTGTGGATAGTAAAGAGAGTGTTATGGTGAGACACTTTATTTTTAATTTGAAATTAGGTGGAAAGGCAGTGTTTAGTGCAAGAAAGAAAGCAAGAATTGGTGACCACACCTTTAAAAGAAACGTGTACGGTTGAGATTATCCCAGAAAGCGGAACACCATTGGTTGGGTGTCACATCACACATAATTCTTTTTCATTGGTACACGTCTCCAGGTCGGCACTCTGCAACCTCCATTATTACGGTTTTCTCTTAATATTTTAATACTTTTTTTATTATTACAAACAAACACACCCTTAACAATTATCTTAATAATATTTACACAGCTTTGACCACTGCTTTAAAAATATCGATTAAATATTCAGATCTATTCTAACCAATCCTTTCAACTTATAATTTTTATTAACACTGTTTGTTATTATTATTATTATTTAAGTTTTTATTAAAACATTCATGACATTTTTATGTTTTTAAAAAATATTTATTAATTTATAAATCAATATTTTTGGAATATTTCCTAATAAGGCGTCCCTTCAGTTACTTTGTTCGTACCTAATAAATAAAATTTGGAATCACAGTCACATGGGACATGCGTGTTTCCATATATTTTTTAAAACAATAAGTATTTGAAGAAATGAGAAATAAAATATCATTATTTAAAACAAAATAAAATATGATGCAATTGTAAAATTAATTATATCGATCAAATATAATTTATAAAGTTTTAAAATGTAAATAAAACCGTGACTATGATATTTGATGAACATAATGTTTAAAATTTGATTAAGAAACAATGAAGTAATAAATTTTGTTCCTAAAATAGATTCAAATATTATTTTACTTTTAGTACAACATATTTATGTAAGAAGATGATTTATTTAAGAGGAGTGAAGATAGTTGATAAGTATGTAAAGTTAGTGTGTTGAAAAGGGAAAATGAAAAGGGAGTGGAAGTGTGAAGAGAGAATTGGACACTTGGCGCATAGAGCAGAGTGAGAGAGAGAGAGCGAGGAAGAAGGAACGGAGCCAACCAACTCTCAACCCTCAGCAGACACCAAAATCATACCAAATCGGGAAAACCTAAGAATCATAAAATAAATACCAAACACCAACGACAGAAGGTATTCCCATTGCCATTGCTATTCATATTGCTATTACTTCCATCAAATAAATCCTCCATTCTTTTTCGTAATTCTTATCCTCCTTTTATTCCTCCACTTACTTCTTTCTATCTTTTACACTTTTTCCTTCGTTCACACACGCAAAAATTCTCTCAACTATCACCTCACAACATCATCTTACCATGGATACTAGGGTTCAATTTGGGACTATTTCAAATTAGGATCTCATTCATCTTATGACTACCACGTTACATATACATACTCCTCAATCTCTGCCCTACAATCGCTATAGATATAATAGGTTACCAAAATAAAATGTAATAGTAAGACACAATCCAACCATATATTAAACGCCTCTTTTTTAGTTTCATAATTCTTCCAAGCTCACCGTAGCTTAGTTCCACACTTTTTTTTTTTATTTTTTTTAGGTTTTTTATTTGGATGTAAATAGTTTTTACTTGGTAGCATAATCGATTATTTTCTGAATTTGTTGGTGGAAATTAAAAGTCAGATAAGTGTTAGTTTTGGTGTGGAGGAGTGGAAAACTGAGATTTGAATTCGGATCGGGTCGGGATTGTGTTTGGTTGTTCAGATTTTCGATATGAATTTCAAGAGCTTCGGGAATGAAGCTGGCGGTGGCGACGGCGGAGGGAGGCCGGCGGGGAATTTCTCCCTGACGCGGCAGCCGTCGGTGTACTCGCTGACGTTCGACGAGTTCATGAACAGCATGGGAGGTTCGGGGAAGGACTTTGGCTCCATGAACATGGACGAGTTGCTGAAGAACATTTGGACGGCGGAGGAGGTTCAGACAATGGCGTCGGCCGGCGTCGCCGCCGATGACGGAGGCGTCGGCGTCAGCCATTTACAGCGGCAGGGGTCGCTGACGCTGCCGCGGACTCTCAGCCAGAAGACAGTGGATGAGGTTTGGAAGGACATTTCTAAGGATTATGGTGGCCACGGAGGGCCCAATCTGGCACAGACGCCGAGACAGCCCACTCTGGGAGAGATGACGTTGGAGGAGTTCTTGGTTAGAGCTGGTGTTGTTAGAGAAGATGCGAAGCCAAACGACGGCGTTTTCATGGATCTGGCTCGTGCAGGGAATAACAACGGTTTGGGGTTTGGGTTCCAGCAGATGAACAAGGTTTCTGCTACTACCGGTTTGATGGGTAACCGGTTGAACAATGATCCACTGGTGGGTCTTCAGTCTTCTCCCAACTTGCCTTTGAATGTTAATGGGGTGAGATCATCCAATCAGCAGCCACAGATGCAGAGTCCACAGTCTCAGCAACAGCAGCAGATATTTCCTAAGCAGAGTGCTATGTCTTATGCAGCTGCTCAGTTGCCCCAGGGAATGGTGAGGGGTGGAATTGTGGGGCTTGGGGGTGATCAGGGTTTGAGCGTGCAAGGTGGAGGAATTGGTATGGTTGGTTTGGCACCAGGTTCAGTTCATGTTGCTACTGGGTCTCCTGCTGCTAACCAAATATCCGGTGATAAGATGGCCAAGAGCAATGGTGATACCTCGTCTGTGTCACCTGTTCCTTATGTCTATAACGGCGGTCTGCGAGGGAGGAAGAGTGGAGGAGCTGTGGAGAAGGTGATTGAGAGGAGGCAGAGAAGAATGATAAAAAATAGAGAGTCAGCTGCCAGGTCACGGGCACGCAAGCAGGTGAATATTTGTTCTGCTATCCTAAAATTAGTAATCATAGTTCTCTTGCATTTGCATATTCAAATGAATAATTACTTGAATGCAAACAGACAGATTTAATATCTCTAGTTAAAGCATAAGGATACCAATGGGTTGATGCAATTACTTTTACCTTGTAGAAAGGCATGCTTGAGTAAACAATTTAATACGAACTTGTCACATAAGAGCTGATATAATAAGGGCTTAATCTATAATTTTGAAGAGATCAAGCTAGTATGAAGCTTATGAAAATAAGCTAAAAAGAGCTTTAGGAGGGTTGCAAGCTACTTTCTTAAGCTGAATCAAACACCTTTAACTTTCAGTTTAAATGCCTAAATATAAGATGAGCCTAAAATTAGTTTGATAGAAACTTGAATAAAACTTGTGTTAGTTTGTAACTTGTTTTTGGTCTTGCGACCTCCATCCACTAGTATGAGATAATCGAATGCCTGACGTTGCCGACTGTAGATTTTACTTTCAGTAACAGAAAGGAGGGAGGTTGGAGTAGCTGTGACATTTTTCATGAAAATATACCACCAAATTTTCTATAAACAGGGTTTAGTGATATATTCATTTCTAAAATCAAAAGAATATGATGACGATATGCGTCATGTTATTTCTTTACTAATAGTAATACTGCTCGGCCATTGACGTTCTGCTTTTATCCTCTGTGAACATGCTGTATAGCATGAAAGATTATGCAGCAGAATGGTAATATGATAGCGATCTGATCTGATGAAAGGTGAAAGATTTTGAGAAGTTACAATCATGAGAAGTTGTAAAGATCCAGGTTATTACAAGGTAATTGAACAGCTGGTTGGGGACATCACTAACAGTTGGATCATCATAAAATCCAAAGAAGCATATAATAAGTAAATATGTATTAACTTGTAAGGCATAACGTGGGAGGAAGTGCAGGTTGAAATTTTGTATAACGTATTTAGTTCTCTGGTTCAAGTTTGTTCTCACATTTTTATTTTCAGGCTTATACCATGGAATTGGAAGCAGAAGTTGCAAAGTTAAAAGAGGAGAACCAAGAACTTCAGAAAAAACAGGTAATTTTGGTTATTACTTCATGTCACGTCACATACAGTTGCAGGCACACATGTATATCAATTTACGTCTTCTGTTCGCATTAAAAATTTCACTAATCAACATTTATTTTGGTTTTGCAGGCTGAAATCATGGAAATTCAGAAAAATCAAGTATGTTGGCTTTTGTTTTTGTGTTGGTTTCATTCTTACACAGCATTTCTTTGCTCCTTTTTGTTTTTCATCAGTCATTGTAAAGTATTTGCAAGACCTGAATTTTATCAAGAGCCGTAACCTTATTTCCACTTGCATGACTAATTGGCTAATATATCATGAATCATGGTTTAATTTTCTACATATAAGTACATAATATTTTGTCAGTCCTCAACTTCGACCATTTTTTCCTTAAAAAGTTATACTCCGACCAATAGATAATTCTGAAGACAATATTTGGTCACAACTTATGTCAATCAGCAGCACAAGTCGGTGTGCTTGTCATGTTAAACATGTGATGAATGAGGTGGTAGGTTTGGTGTAAAACGGTGATACGATGATACACCTGATTTGAGCCACCACCTAGTTTAGGTTCTTCTGTTAATTATGTCATGCTATTAATTATTAAAACAAGTGTTTAAGTTCATTTTTTTTAGGATTAAATATCTGTCAATTTATTATCTGTAAGGTTGACTTTTATATTCTCTAGTTATGAGTCTTTGTCTCTCGTGGCATTTTTTATTTTGTCCTGTACTTCCTTGAAGGTTGTTGAATTGATTTGATGATCATTTTATGTAAAGCTAGTGAGAAATATGTTTTAATGTAATGCCATTTAAATGAACTGAAAACCCTGTTCACCTAGTAATTATCGATCTTACATTAGTATCAAATGAAAGGCTATAGAGGAGATACAACAGCAACCCACTGTTAATGCATGCTTTTTTTAGCTCAGATTTCGGTCATATAAACCAGTTTGCATCAGTTCATATGAATTATGTCCAAAAAGTCTTTTGAAATAACCTGTTGCTGGTTGGGTTGCGTTTTCTTTTTTAGGGTGGGGGGGTGATTTTTGGTTATGTTTGTGGTGGAGTGTTTTTGGATTTCAACATAAGTCTAGGAGAGAAATGACAGTTTTGTTTTGTGCATGAGCTTTTGTTTATATTCCTTGGTTTAGATATCTACATCCAACAGTCACAATTCAAAATTTTCATCGAAGTAGCCTGTGATACCTCCAATTTAGAATTATTTTGATGAGTATAATAACAGTGATTTCGAACTAGTATGTCATATTTACAAATTCTTATTTTGCACTTGTTCCAAAATCGAATGAAGCGGAAACATAGCATTTTCAAACTCAAACCCACTACTTCCATTTCAAAGCACTTGATATAGTAGGGGGAGGATTTTGATTGAAATTTTCTGTTAATGAATATTGTTCCTTCCTTGTGTTTCTTTCTTACATAGAAACCTGTAATGCTAATTGTATCTGGTTCTTACCGTAAAAATTTCTATACCTGAAGTTCAGGCTTCATTTATAGCCCTCACAACTTGTTACTGTAATATGCAAGGACTTGCTGATTCAAAGTGTATCTTGTAAGGGAATAAAAATTGATGCAACCTTAGTACTGAATTTCCGTTCATTCAATAATCACGCAGGTTAAGGAAATGATGAATTTGCAGCGAGAAGTCAAGAGAAGACGCCTAAGACGAACACAAACTGGTCCGTGGTAGAGTGAAGATTGTACTATGACTGTACCGTTAAAATATATGTACATAATTATGAAAACGTATTCTGTTGTAGATTGAGGCTCTGGTAGTTTTTAGATTAGCACTTGGAAACTTTAACGTCTTACTTCTCTTTTGAACACGTGTTAGGGAGGGGGTATGCATAGGACCATGAGAATATGTTTCAGCGCACATCCAATTTCTTGTCACCATTGGTTAGACAATCTTCCTGTGCAGTTGCACTTTCCTGGATTTGGTTCGGTGAGATTGCGTGTCCAATATATGCACTCCTCTACATTCACCATGCTTAAGTTTCGAGACCTCCTATTTTATCATTTGCGTATCCATATGGGAATGAAAAGTCAGTAGCGTATCTTTAATGTTCTCTAGATGGGTGGAAGAATTAAGTAAAACAATTTGTTGTGTATTTTCTTCACCTTCAGGGATCTAGAGCATATTCACGTAAAAACTTCGCATTTGCTTCTCCAATTCATGTTCAGTGATCATCACCATTTTACCCAACACATGGTTCCTTCCTCCCCTCCGGATCGGGAGCCGAACAAGTAAATACAAAAATTAATCTTTGAAATTATAATCTAAAAAATATGAAAACGAAATTTAATTGTTCAGATAAACAACTATTTAAGTAAAAAATGAATTAACTATGATCTCCGGAGTCAATGATATGTCATTTTGATTCCTAACAACAAAAACTATTAGTCAGACCGGTCCTTAACTTTAATATGCATTCCTCAATTTAATCCGTACTATCAATATTCAAATCAGATTATTGATAATCAAATTTTAAATCCAAAATATTTACCGAATTTGGTAAAGAATCAATTTAACTAGCCAATTATAAGGAATACATGAAAAACTACTTCAGATAAGACTAAAATCCCTTTTCTTTGTAATGTCAGACTTGCAATTTTCAAGTACTGATTTGACATTAATCGTGATTTAAACCAAGATAAATCTGTTGTCAGTCAATGTGGTTTTTCATTGAGTTCCACTAAAAATCTAAGATGCACATTACATCCCAGCACAGTTTGTACAAGCAGACTATTTATTGGGTTGATCAGATACATGAATTTCGAATTTCAGATTGGACTTTCTGAAATGTGGTTTAAATTCCGGAAACATGGGAACTGCCACATGAAAAGTATAGGGTGAAAAAAAAAATATTGTTTGACAATCCAAAATAACATTACATAGTATCATCTAGTTTAATTTTGGATTGTCTTGGTTGTTTGAGTGGTCAAACAATCATTTTTGAGAAAAAAAAAATATGGGCAATTGATTGCTTATGCGACAGTTAGTGGGGGATAAAAAACAGAATACATGGAGAGAAAATGGAAACGGAGGCATTTTGTTCATTTTTCAGTTAAAAACTCAGGTTGGACAGAGAGTCACCTCTCTGAGGAGCATTAGCCCTGGGATAACACGTTTTTCAATCAATAATACAATTTTCTCTTTCTTTTAAACTGGATTCCTATCACAAACGGAAAAAGAATGAAGTACAATCAATAAAAGAAAATACTACAACCACTATAAAGGAGAAGTCAGTGAAGTAAACCTAACAGAAATTTCACCCATGATGCCTGCTCCTATATACTGAAACCCAGCTAGCTAGCTGCATTTGCTAGAAATTACATCATAATAACAAAAACCAACAGCTGAAATGAATCCATCAAAAATCTATCACAGCATCTCAGCTATTTATCTGATTGTACGAGTCAAGAACCATGATGCCACACGGTTGGCTGAACGCATATATTACAGAGGTACAACTTCCAGATCCTTACAACAGTAAAATTGCATACCTATTGCGTCCATTTGTCGTCTTCAAAGCTGAACATTACTACTTGGGACAGCTTGGGGGGAAGTCTTCCCACGATTCTTTCCTCTATAGATTAGCAGACAAGAACCTACCTCTATTGGGGACAGCTGGAATTGAGTTTCATGTCTTTCCAGGAGATCATCTTCCTGCGATCCCTTCCTCTAAAACATCTACCCAGGTATCTACCAGTGACGGGCTTGCATAAGCCAACATCAATCACTGAAGTACAATTTGTTCTTTCAGAAGATGGGGATGCCTCGTCTAAATAGTAGTCGAACAACATAGCAAGGCAACTCAATTGATGAACCAGTACATAATTTTGTTGACTCATAGGTAGCATCTTCAGCATGTGTAAATTGACCTGAAATTTAGAGAGGGTAGCACAAATAAGGACCATGGTGCAGAGATATTGGGTGTTTTTCTCCTCTTTTCTTTTTACTTTATATAGTTCATTGGGGAACCCCTGGGAGCGGGAGGGGAAGAGGGGGAGGAGATGGGCCACAATTTTCTGTCAAGAACATACAAGTGATCTAAATTATTGCTATGTATTACCGTCCAATCCCATAATTCCCATTCCTTTAAGAATCATATCCACTAGATGTTAACAATTTTACTCCAGTTAACATCTTGAGTGATCAGTTACTCACCTCTGCTTCCATTGCACGAAGTTCATTGTACCACTCTAATTCAAGCTTATCACGCTTTTCCCCAGAAGATATACAGCGAATACTCAATGCAAAAAGAGGAGGCCTTAGAGGATATTCAATACTGATCTTTATCTGTCAAAAGATAAAAGTCTAGATGAAATTGCCAATAAATCACTGAATTCAACTGAGTAGATAAAGGAGAGGCTTTTGTTTACCTTAGCTTCTAAATTCACATTGCTCTCATCTGCACTCATCTTTCTGCAAAGAACTAAACGAAATTCCTTGAGCCCATGATCCATCCACGAAACAGAATTTCTATCGTGGTAATTGGATAATATATTTTCATGTTCTGGTTCAGTCTGTGCCAGCTCATCTAGATCACTTTCAGTATCCAGCAAGAAATCAGAACTATCATCATATTTTTTGAAACTCTGTGACCTGATTTTATTGAGTGGAGGAACGATACTTTTTGAAATTAAGTTCAGCTGTGTGGAATGGTCAAGCTTGGACACGCTAGGAAGCAAAGTTGGAAGCTCCCCATCTTCTGTAATACTATCCAATTCTACTCTTGTGACAGCAGAAAGTTCACTTACATCGGCATCCATTGGCTCCTGAATATGCTCCTCTTCATCAATGGCAGCAGGAGATGAGGACTCTCTAGGTACAGGTGGAAGTCTTACGGGTGACCAAGTATCCAAATTGCACAAAGGAGTGTGCAAAGCCCAAGGAACACTTTTGTAGGACAAATGAGGCCAGTCAAGCTTTGTGAGAAATTCTAGCTGTTCCCTGTAAGCCAGTGAAAGAATTCAACAAATTAAAACTGAAGTATGCCCAAGCAAATTGGTATGCAAGATAATCAGAGATTCTCAAAAATAGAATGGAATTTCACTAAATTTAGGATTCACAACCAGAATTCACAGTAGGGAGGCAAACAAACAAACAATACTAAGATGCAAATGCAACAACAACATAACCATAGCAATGCCCAATAGCTAACATTCAGTTGAACAAAATATGGTATTTATCTTCATTGAATAACATAACCATAGCAATGCCCAATAGCTAACATTCAGTTGAACAAAATATGGTATTTATCTTCATTGAATATCAAGAAAGGCCCTTCACATTCTAAAACTGTACACAAACAAAAAGCTGACTCACAGAAGAGCCGACTGAGCTTTTCTTCTGTTGCGAATCCTCTGCAGAACTGTCATGACTCGGTTCTGCTGGCGATATAGTGTGAGACCAGAGATAACATTTTCATTCTTCGCTGCTCCACTGTTGTCACTATGAAGCAAAGGAGACACCTCAGGCAAGAAATCAATCCCTGCCAGGTGCTGAGCCCATTTGTAAGGACGTGAAGTTCTTTGAGTATTGAATGTTATAGTGTCTTGAACAAAGAGTTTGGCAGACTGCATCAACATTCAAATAGAAATAAATGACATATAAATAGTAAGTTGGAGAATAGATTACAGATGTGGAAAGACAAAGCCAATAACTGTGTAAAGGCACTATAACCTGGTGAGGAAGCTCAAGTCCCGAATCATTAGGGAATAAATTGCATAAGATATCATTCTCTGGACCTTCATTACAACCTTCCATTCCAACACATACAACGTTCAACTTCACCAAGAACTCAAACCTTAGAGTAATGAGTTTTGCAGATTTAGAATCAGAAGCCTCATCTTCGTACACATGGATAATGATTTTAAGTGGGTGAACTTGAAATATTCCCCACTGGTCAAGGTTCTCCTTCGCTTGAACCCTACGTGGCCTTTTTCTTCGTCTCTGACCATCTTCTTCTTCGTCAGGAGCATCATCTTCCAATTTGGAACTCTCCACGGTGGTGGAATTGTCTGAATAATAAAACATCTTAGTGAATCCTTAAGTTCCATTTTGGTAAAATGGAAATAACAGAAATAAACTTGGTATAGATATTCCAAAGCCATGTCAGGCAAACGCATAAAAATATTGCAAACTTTTAATCATCCATTTAACTAAGCCAGGGAAAAAATGAACTAAAGACCATTAATAAACATGACATGGCAGTACTTCTATACCAGTAATACACTTCCTTTACTGTACTTTTATCCCATGTTAGCATTAAAACCAATCATAACATTCAAAATCTATAACTATCATGAACAGTACAACTGATGTGAAGTTCTGGTTAAAAGTTGATTCATTAAAAAGATAATGTCCATAGCTATAATTCAGTGTCAGTAGGTACGCTATCAGCTGCAATAGTACTGACAACATAGATTCAATCAAGAATAGTGCTAAAGTTCACATATCAACTCTCAATTACCAGGGTCCTTGTGAGCTTGTTGACGAGCAAAAGCTTGAGCATCTTTTAAGCTTCCTATAATCTCCAGATCAATGGGTTCTCCAAAGGCCTCCTTTTGGGCCAACAGCTGTGAATAAATCACATAAAGGGCTGGAGGAAGCAATTCTGCTGAATGATGCTGCTTTAATCTCTTTGTATGATGAAGCCCTAGCTGGTTTTGTACCGGCAAGGAGGCTTTTTTAAGAGACTTGAGATGTGAAGGGAGACTAGTTAGGAACTTCTTTCGGTTTGCAATAGTCTGCAAAAGGATTTTCTTTTGTTGTTCTAGCTTCTCATGAAGTTTGCAGAGTTCTTTGCGCTGATACAAAATTTCAAATAATAATTGTAAGGATATCTTCTGCTATTTGCAAGAAAAAATCGAAGAAGGCAGGTTATTGAAGCAATATTAATAGACAAATGACCGCGTGAAAGAATTTTTCAACACTAACCTTATGTTTAGGTGAGTGAAAATGAGGAGGCCATAAGATACAAATACCAAATTTTCATTTTTTGCTCGAGAAAAAAAAAAAGGAAGGACAAATGTTTAAAGGTGGGTCTCATGAATAAAAAAAATAGTTTTCAGTTTTTTAGTTTTTAAAAACTAAAAAACTTATTTGATAATTATTTTATTAAAGTAGTTTTCAAAAATTGTTTGTATTTTAGTTTTTAAAACTCAAAAACAAAACTGATTAAAGATAATTTTTAATATAGTTCTTATTTTCAATAATGATATTCACACCTTCACCAATATATGTACTACATCACTAGCCTTTATAACCATGAAATTATCAACATCGTTTTTCCGGCGACTTTTTGTTGCCGTTTATGTCACCTTCTTCAGCCTAAAACAACTTTTAAAGTTGTCAAACAAGTTTATTTTAACTTATTTTCAAAATTAATCTAGAAACTAAAAAACAGAAGTAGATAAAACAAACCCTTTGTTACAGTCTCTAATATTAAATATTTTTTTATAATATCAAAAAAAGAATATGTTAAGAAAAATAACATAGTTAAAAGTTCAAATTGTATAAAAAGTCTTTTATTTAATTATTTTATTTATTTCCACTTACTCTTCCCCTCATTCAAAGAAGCAGAGAGAAAATTCTCGAGTTATTTCTTAATTCTATCTACCAAACCAATTTACCTTTTTTACCCTTTCTTTTTTCCTTCTATACTGCCTATTTCTTATTTGTCACGTCACTTTTTAATTTTAGGATGCATTTGGAAGAACTTGTCAACAATTTATTTAGCTTATCTTAAAACATAAGATACTAATTCAAAATATTCCCCTCATTGACGTGATCACACTAAGCACAACATACTCAATTCCATATAGAATCAAATGCATACATGTCTCAAAAACATAGAGATGCAACAACAAAAGCCCCCCTTGTGTTTAACTATAAGAGCATTAACTTCAAGATATGGTTTTAAAGATCAGCTGCAACCACGATTTCAATCACAACATCGAGGATTTTTGTCCTCTGCAACTGCAATTGAGGTTGCATTTGTCCACAATTTCCCACTGTTGGAATAGATTAGAAAATATATGTAATCATTATACCTAAGGTAGGAAGTTGAGTGTTAGATAATCTATGCAGGGGGTTGAGTGTTAGATAAACTCTACACCTGGTTATGAGGAGTAGTCTAGGACTGAGACATTTAATGTAATCTCCCTACTGTATTAGTTTTTATCTATATAAATAGAAAACCATGAGAGGGGTTCTTCAAGCCCTCTAAAAACACTTTTTCTCTGATTTGAATATCAAGTTGGTATTAGAGCGGGTCGATCCCGCTCTGCCTGTCTTTGTAGTCTTCGACACAATTTTTGCCGCCATCCGCCGCCACCATCTCCGCCACCGGCCACAGTCTCAGATCGTCCAATTTTTGCCGGCGACCACCAGATCTGAATCGTCTCGCCACGTGACAGCCAACCCCGCCGATCCCGGAAGCTTGTTCACCTCCACACGCTGCCTCTGGCGCGTGTCATCCACGCACCGCCTTCTTCGTGTCAGAACGTCGTTGTGCCGCCTCTGTTAGGATTGCCGGAGCTTCCTCTCCTTGTTCTGCCCCTCAGAACTTCATTTCAGTGAAGTCCAATAACCACCCTTGCGAAAATCACTCTTGGGCTTTCGGCCTTCCTTACTGTTTTCGCACCCCCTCACCAGTTTTTGTCCTCTTGATCAGAAATGACTGCAATTTCATTCTCTGGAAGCCCCTCCATTACTTTCGAAAAGCTAAACAGACAAAATTATCTATCTTGGTCTGCTACCGTTGAAATGTGGTTTCTCGGTCAGGGGCATCACGACCACCTTGAAAAAGACAGAAGTTATGTGCTGGAAGAAAAAACTAAACAGTGGAAACAGGCAGATTTTCAGCTATGTGCTCTATTGTGGCAATCGATGGAACCACGACTTCTGATGTCGCTTAGAGCCTTCAAAACTTGTCACTCCTTTTGGAAGAAAGCCCAAACCATTTATGCCAATGATATCCAACATCTCTATGATTCCGCAAATAAGTTGACATCTCTAAAAATGATAGATCATAATATGGTGACCTTCATGAACGACGTTCAGTCAACTGTGGAAGAACATCTTCAAACTGAAGATGTTCTTGGAAGTCGACTCCTTGGATGAAATGAAGAAGTTTGACAAGTATTACATGGTGATGATCCTTCGCGCAATACATCCTGACTTTAACCATATCATAGATCAACTTCTGACCACTTATGAAGTCCCTTCCATGGATACCCTTATCACACGCCAGATTCGTGTACCAATGCCTGAAACTCAAGAAACTCGTGCTCTAGTAGAACCATCTGCCATGGTTGCCACATGAGGAAGAGGAGGACGTGGCACCAAAGGAGGAGGACATGAAGGTCGAGGACGTCCCCAATGCACCTACTATAAGAAGATGGGTCACACATAGGAGAACTGTTACTCCTTGCATGGTTTTCCTCCCAAAACCGCCAATGTCTCGAAGGTTGAAACCGTCGACTCCAAGATCACTGAGGACGAATACCAAGAGTATCTACGGTTGAAGTCTAATAGCTTGGCACAGACTTTTCAAACTGCAAGCACATCAACTGCTTGCATTTCTCAATCAGTGGAAGGTCAAAATTCATGGGTAATTGACTCTGGTGCTTCTGATCATATATCTGGTAATACCTCCTTGTTCTCAACCATTTCCTTTCAAGAAAAACAACATTTCATAACCCTTGCAGATGACTCTAAAGCTTCCTCAAAGGGAGTGGGCCAAGTTTCCTTGTCTCCCTCCATAAGCCTGAAATCTGTCATTTTTGTTCCTTATTGTCCTTTCAATTTAATCTCCTTAAGCCAGTTAACCAAAACCTTAAATTGCTCAATAACCTTCGATAACAAATCTTTTGTTATACAGGAACGCGGTTCGGGGAGACGGATTGGAGAAGGATATGAAGCTGGAGGATTATACCTTTTTGGCCCTCATCTACGTGTGTCCTGTGTTGCTACTCTGAGCCCTAAAATGTTACATGATCGGCTTGGTCATCCTCATTTGTCAAAATTAAAAAGAATGTGTCCTGAACTTAGTGGTCTCCAGACCTTAGAATGTGAGTCATGTCAACTAGGAAAACATGTTAGATCTACCTTTCCTCAAAGGTCCCAATCAAAGTGTAGTTCTAGTTTCTCTATTATCCATTCTATTATCCATTATGATATTTGAGGACCCAGTCGCATCTCATCTTTTGGTTTTTGGTATTTTGTTACATTCATTGATGAATATTCACGATGTACTTGGGTTTATCTTATGAAAGATCGCTCTGAATTGTTACCTATCTTTACATCCTTTTTAAATGAAATCAAAAATCAATTCAGTCAAGTAATCAAAATTTTAAGAAGTGACAATGCTAAAAAGTACTTCTCATCCACCTTTTCTGCTGTTTTGAGTTCACATGGAATATTACATCAATCCACCTGTCCTCATACACCATAGTAGAATGGTATAACAGAAAGAAAAAATAGACATTTGGTTGAAACTGCACGTACTCTTTTGTTGGGTGCTCATATTCCTGTCCATCACTGGGAGATGCCATCTTAACTGCATGTTTTCTTATTAACAGGATGTCATATTCCTCTCTCAGTAATAAGATCTCTTTCTCCATTCTATTTCCAAATAATCCTCTCTTTCACACTTCTCCTCGAATTTTTGGTTGTATATGTTTTGTTCATGATATGTCCCCAGGGTTAGACAAGTTTTCTGCTCGTGCTATCAAATGTGTCTTCTTGGGTTATTCCCGCCTTCAAAAAGGGTATCGGTGTTACTCTCTTGAAACCAAGAAGTATTACATGTCTGCCAATGTTACATTTTTTAAACAAACTCCTTACTTTTCTCCTTCTATTCAAGATGTTCATGTCATACAGCAGGTTCTTCCCATTCCAGTGGTTGAGTCTAATATTTCCAATGTCTCTATCGATCTCAGTCGTGATCCAAGTCTTCCTGAACCATCCTCCCCTCACATTGATGTTGTCAATCATAGGATCCCAATGGCTAGTCCTGTTCTCCAAGAAGAGGGTGAATCTCCCACTTTAGATTCTTCTCCAACATCGCTTCCTACCATGACTCCAGGTGAAGATGATTCCGGATAGCCCATTGCTCTCAGAAAAGGTACTCGTTCCACTCGAAACCCACATCCTATTTATAATTTTCTTAGCTATCACAGATTGTCGTCTTCCTATTGTTCCCTTTTATCCTCATTATCTTCTATTGTTATCCCAAGAAATGTGGAAGAAGCACATGATCACCCTGGATGGCGACAAGCCATGATTGCAAAGATGCAGGCTCTTGACCATAATGCTACATGGGAGTTCGTGCCCCTTCCGCCGGGCAAAAAGGCAGTTGGTTACCGCTGGGTGTATGCTGTTAAAATCGGCCTTGATGGTAAAGTTGATCAGCTCAAGGCTCGGTTAGTTGCAAAAGGGTACACTCAGATTTATGGCCTTGTTTATTGTGACATTTTCTCTCCCGTGGCCAAGATGACTACTATTTGTCTATTCTTCGCAATGGCTGTCATTCGTCACTGGCCACTTCATCAATGAGATATAAAAAATGCCTTCCTACATGGTGATCTTGAGGACGAAGTTTACATGGAGCAACCTCCTGGGTTTGTTGCTCAGGGGGAGTTTGGACTGGTATGCAAATTACATCGCTCTCTATATGGCCTCAAGCAATCACCACGTGCTTGGTTTGGAAAATTTAGCTCCATTGTTCAAAAATTTGGGCTAAGACGCAGTGAAGCAGATCATTCAGTCTTTTACTGTCATACATCTCTAGGTAAATGTGTTTACTTAATAGTATATGCTGATGATATAGTTATTACAGGAAATGATACTGTTGGAATATCTCAACTGAAGGAGTACTTGTGCAGACATTTTCAAACCAAGAATTTGGGAAGCCTAAAATACTTCTTGGGCATTGAAGTAGCTCAATCAAAAGATGGAGTTGTAATCTCTTAGAGAAAATATGCTCTTGATATATTACAAGAAACAGGTATGATTGACTGTAGACCTGTAGAGAGTTCTATGGACCCAAATAAGAAATTAACAACAAAAGAAGGTGAAGTATTCTCTGATCCAGAGAGATATAGGAGGCTGGTCAAAAAACTGATTTATCTCACTATTACAAGGCCTGATCTATCTTTTGCAGTTGGAGTGGTTAGTCAATTCATGCAAGCTCCATGTGTTGGCCATTGGAATGCTATCATTCGCATTCTAAGGTACCTCAGAAAGGCTCCCGGGCAAGGATTGTTATATGAAGATAGAGGAAGCATTCAGGTCACTGGGTACTGTGATGCAGATTGGGCAGGTTCACCTGTTGACAGACGATCTACTACTAGATATTGTGTCTTCCTTGGAGGAAACATTATTTCATGAAAAAGTAAGAAACAAAATGTAGTGGCTTGATCGACAGCTGAAGCTGAATATAGGGCAATGGCGTCACTAACTTATATGGGTGAAGCAATTCATTCAAGAGCTTAACTTCTGTGATATCCAGACTATGAAGATGTATTGCGATAATCAAGTTGCTCTCCACATTGCATCAAATCCCGTATTTCACGAGAGAACTAAACATATAGAAATTGATTGTCACTTTGTTCGTGAAAAGTTGTTGACAAAAGAAATATGTAACGAGTTTGTTGGATCAAATGACCAATTCGCAAATGTGTTTACCAAGTCCTTAAGGGGACCTCAGATTGAGTTTATTTGTTTCAAGCTTGGTACATACAATTTGTATGCTCCAGCTTGAGGAGGAGTGTTAGAATAGATTAGAAAATATATGTAATCATTATACCTAAGGTAGGGAGTTGAGTGTTAGATAATCTCTGCAGGGGTTGAGTGTTAGATAAATTTTACACCTAGTTTTGAGGAGTAGTCTAGGATTGGAGCATTAATGTAATCTCCCTATTGTATTATCAAGTCCCACAATATTAAGGACCCGAAAAAAAAATGTGTGAAATTAAAAACCTTGCTTCTAGCTGATCGGTGCAAAACGTACATTGAGGGCAGAGACAAACTGCATAAACTTTTGCCAGAAGCCAATATAATAAAAATAAAAACATACAATAACTATATAATACACACTTGTTTGTCTTTCACCGTTCCAAATTTTCCATTCACCTAATTCAAATTGTCAAGTAGACTCCTTAGGTGGTAAATTTAAAATAGAATATCGACAAGTCACCTGGAATAGCTCGAAATTGAGCCTCCTGAGCATGAGATTATGCGCAGCGTCATTTGACAAAACGGAGTGCTTGATATCTTGTGGAGCGTCGCGGGAAAACTCCTCCTCAGGAACGAGGTCAATGTCAGGATATTTCGATTTGAAGTCTTTACAGGCCTTGATCGCCTTAACGTAGTGGCTTTTCTCGTACATGAGATTGTGAAGCTGCAGCGTCGTGAAATCCACCGGTGCCTTGGCACGCTCCGTTTCGGTTTTCACGCGGTCTTCCTCGAGCAAGATAGAGCGATTTGCCTGAAAACAAAAAAAAAAAGATAGTAATAAAACCTAATTCAGAGAATGAGAATGGAAGAGAAGTACAGAGTAGAGCACCTGGCGGAGAGTGATGAAGTGTAGGAACATCTGAGTAACGAGATCCCGAAGTTGTTGTTTAGGTTTTCCGTCCTTTTTAATGGAGAGTATGTCGGCGACGATGTTCTCTACGGAAGCCTTGCTGTTGCGCAACATTTCGTAGGGCGATTCCTCCGTCTTGTGAGGCTCTGAGGAATGTTCCTCTTCCTCTACACCGCCTATTGATCCCTCTTCTATCTCACCGTCTTCCATTGATTCTCCTCTCTTCTCCGTCACAACCTTGACCTAAATCCCCCTTTTCTTCCGCTTCTCGCTTCAAATACAATGCCAGAGACAATTGCTTCCTGCACTAAATTACGCAGCTAGAAGGGAGGAGAACCATACAGCAACAAGGGAGGAGAAACATAATCAGTGTTCATCGCTCCTCACAGGGTTAGTTTTATCATTACATTTTTTTTTTGAAATATTTAAATGATTAAAAAAACCTTTTCATATCATATGCATCTTTTCAAAATTTAAAACATAAAAAATTCCTCAAAAAAAAAACAAAAAATTGTTAATTACTGCGCGTTTAATGTTTTATATATATATATATAGAGAGAGAGAGAGAGAGAGAGAGAGAGAGAGAGAGAGAGATTTTAATGTTTAGAAAGAATCTAATTACAAATTATTAGCAATAGGAATTATTATCATCAAATTATACGGAGTATAATTTATTTTATTAAATTAAGTAATTGGGGGTTTGAATAATGGGTAGTTAAGAAAAAGGAAATATAGTATTTTTGTAAAAATAAATAACTTATTTTCTGTAATGTAGATATGGTTATTGCATAAAAAAATATTATTTTTATTTACTTTAAAATAATCAAACACACACACACATATATATATATATATATATATATATATATATATATATATATATATATATAAATTGTATCAACTTTTTTATTGTTTTTTCAATTTTTCACTTAATCTAATTTTTCACTTTAATTTTCTTCATTTATTTCATATTTTACTTACTTGCCTTCTATCATCTAATCTAAACAAAGTGGAAGAGAATTTATTTTATACCCTTAGCCTTTTACGTGTTTATGATCTTAATTAATTTTATCTATGACAATTTATATTTTTAATTTATTACAATAAATTAATAATATTTAATTATATGGTCTTTTTATGCCTTTAAAATGTTCTGTAAATGTTAGTGTAATGGTGTTAGTGGCAAATCGAGGAAAGTGATCGAAATCGAAGGAAAGAGATGCGACTCGATAAGATTCATTCGATGTCTAATTAGAAATACGTAGCATATAGCATCGAGGAGCACAATCGAGAATCGAATGAATAATAGTCAAATGACTGTTGTCGAATAAAAACTAAGTCATATAAGACCAGGGTTAAAAAGGAATTGTAAGCAATTCAAAGTTCTCGAAAAATACCGAATCGAGAGTAAAGAAAGCCCACGTGGACATCGAGACTTTGGCCAAATCGTGAAAGGAAGACGAATGCACGTATAAAGAGCAGTTTTGAAATCATGGGAAAAAGTCGGAGATCGTGAGAACGTGGGAAACTACAGAAGATAAAACTGTCATACGCACGTAGAACGTGGTAGCAGTCGTGTTAACTGCTCTCGGAAGGCTTGAAGGATGCCCTATAAATAGAGCAAAGGAGGAAGGAACAGGGGGGAGCAAAAATTGGCAGAGCACAGAACCAGTAGTGAAAAGTCTACCGGAGAAACGACGAACACCATGAAGCTTCTGGCGGTCTGGATTTCCCTGCTCACTGAGTACATTTATCGCTTTCTTTATTTTCCTTGGTAATTTACTTTCGAGCAATTTCGATTCAGCAATTTCATGTTTTTGTACTTTACATTCAATGTCATTTCGATTCAATGTCAAATTAGATTTCTGCATTTAAATGTCTAGTCATTCAATATTCCGTCCATTTCGATTTTCGCATGTTTCGATTTCCTGCTATTTACTTTTCACGCAATCTTAATGGGTTTAGCACTTTACATTGTCTCGCACTTTAAAAATTCCGCTTTTCCGATTTGACGTCTTTACTGCTTTCGATGCTTTAAATCACAAAAAATATCAAAAACAGAGTTTTCAATACATGTAATTGTCGATTCTTATACACGTTGTCGATTGAAAATCAGATTGCTAGCCTAAGTAAAAAGAATTTACGTGGTAGAATTTTTTATTAGGACCAAAACACCTTTAGAATCGAAATCGATCAAAATTCCACCAGAAACAAATTGGCGCGCCAAGTAGGGGTAGTCTTGTGTTGAAAAAACACAAAAGAGGTTAGTTCGAGAGTGTATGAGATTAAGAAGTGGGAGAGTTATAATGAGTCAGAATTCATCAAGTAGTCAGAATAACAATGAGGGTCTAAGTGGTGTGCTCTCACCAAATACCGGGGGGCAAGGGCACAATGGGAGTATGCCTGTAGTATCGACAACTGTAAGTACGTCGATACCAACAAGTAATGAACAAAATCCAGGAACATTGGCAAACACCCATATAGGGTCTAGTATGACGATACCAAACAATATGCAAACTATGGGAAACCCCATAACCACATATGCAGGGCCATATACGAGTGTAAGACCACCTGGTTTTTCACCCAATAACATGAACGGAGCTGGCACTTCGTCGATACATAGAAATTCACGATATAGCTTAGGAATGCCTCCAAACGTAGGTACATTTCAAACCCTAGGCATGCCGCAAAACTTTGGAGTTGCTTCACATTTAGGGGCGTCTCAAAATTCAGTGACATCACAAAACTCAGGGAGTGGGCAAAATTTAGGTATACAACAGACATCTCCGAATCTAGATCCTAGAGGGAATCCCGATCATGGGAGGTATGCATTTGATAGGGACTATCATCGATCTAATTTTGAGAATATCGAAAATACCCATACTGGAATTTCCAGTAACTCCTTAGGAATACTTAGACAACAAATGGATGAAAGTAATTTTGAAATGGTGAATATATTATCACAGCAGTTTACTACGGTCCTAAACCCATTAGTTCAAAATACTACTGCTAGTTTTGAGATATTAGCAAATCAAATGTCTCGAATTGGAGACACATTGGCTGTACCTCGACAAACGAGGATGGAGAATCATGCCAATCAGAATATTAATCCCCCTTATTTATTAAGAAGAAATCGGAACAATGATCAATATCAACAAATAGGGAATGAATATCAACATGTGAGGAATGATATTTATGGAAACCTGAATGAGGGACTTCAAAATATGCGTAATCAGAATAATATGCAATATAATCACATGTTAGGACAAAGGATGAATCTCCAAGGGATGGATTTAAGACCACCTAATCAGACATATTTTGTATCTCCTTTTCCAAATGCGATTCTCGAAACAGAGTTGCCTCGAGGATACAAAGTGCCTAAATTCACTAAGTTTGCTGGAGAAGTTGGTGAATCGACTATCGAGCATGTAGCTCGATATCAAATCGAATGTGGAGATTTAGCGATGAGTGAAGAGCTAAAAATGAAATATTTTCCTAGTTCTTTGACTAAGAATGCTTTTACTTGGTTCACTTCATTGCCACCCAATTCGATATACAATTGGTTACAGTTAGAAAGAAATTTTCATGAGCAATTCTTTAGAGGAGAGACTCAAGTAAGTCTCATTGATTTGATGAACATAAAACGATATAATCATGAAAACATAGATGATTATCTGAATCGATTTAGACAAATGAAATCGAGATGTTTCACTCAAATTCCTGAATATGAATTAGTCAGGATGGCTTCCGCAGGTTTAGAATTCTCGATCAGGAAAAAATTAGTGAATTTTCCATTAAATGACATGGCTCAATTAGCTGATAAAGTGAGAAGAGTGGAGCAAATCGAATATGAGAAACAAAGATACAAGAAATTTGAGAAACCTGTGAAAAAAGAAAGAATAGCCTATATAAATGATGTGTATGAGGTAGATCCCACGACAGAAAGTAATATCGAAGAAAATGTCGATGAGAAAGTAAATATAGCAGAGCTCAAAATAGGAGCTCCATATACTTGTAAATTACTACAGAAGAATGAAGTGAAAGATAAAATGGCAAATCGAACTTATACTTTCGATGTAACAAAGGCAGATAAGATCTTCGATATTCTATTAAAAGATAAACAGATTAAGTTGAGTGACGATCACAAACTGTCCTCTGCAGAACAAAGAAGTGGTCGAAAGTATTGCAAATTTCATAATGTTTATGGACACTGGACTAACAATTGTATACATTTCAGGAACACGATCCAAGATGCGATCGATCAAGGAAGGCTGAAGTTTGGAGAAATTGCAATGAAAGTGGACACGAATCCTTTCGAAGTCCAAGTGGGATATATTGAATCCCAAATTGAGATAAATGATGACTGTAGACTGACGAACGCCACCTTCATAGGCATGGTCGATGTTACTGAAGACATCGATCCCAAGCATGTCAGGATGGACGTATCCGAAGAAGATATGGAATTTGATCTGAGTGAGTTCGAGAAGGAATTCGAGAAGGAGATATACCCTCAAGCAGGAGATTCCCTCGTTGAATTCCTGAACAGAAAGAAAGAAAAAGACGAAGATGTATCGTTATGCCCACGATGCAGTGCAGTGTTCGATAAATCGGCTGCCAAAGCTTTCAGAATAGAACAAACAAAGAAAATCGAGAGTCAAAACAAAAGGAAAAATGACAAAGTGGAGCAAACAGTCCGACCAGCTATCGAAGAAAGTCAACAGAAATCTGTTGGATCTGGTGTTAGCGGAAATCAAAGGCAATGGGTTAGAAGAGAGATGTACCCCTCTCGAGGAGGAAGAGGAAGACTTCAAAGTAGTGATGTCTTCGAGAGACTATCATACGATGAAGGATCGAATATTGGGTTCCCAACATTCCCAAGAAGATTCCGAGGAAGGCCCTGGAGAAGAGGAGGAAGGATCCCTTACTGGAGTAATTATAGAAACTTTGAAGAAAATATTGTACCGATGGAAAGCCAATATGCAAGAGAGTTTTTCGATGATAAAAATGAAGGCAACTGGAATGAACATCAAATCGGAGTGATATCGATATTGCCCGCGGAATATGTCAACGAATACAAAGAATATCAAGAACAGAGTGATGCTGATCGAGAAGATGACTTCTATTCAGAAAGCATAAGGCCAAAGGTAACATGGGTAACTCAAGCATCATGCGAAGTACCTCATAGAGATGCTGCCTTCATCGATCCCCCA